CGGCCCAAAATGATCACATGATCGTTTTAAATGGCGGATAATCAGTGCAGTGTCACATTCTGGGAAGTATGACATAGATGGGTCGCTGCGTGCAGTATGACTGTAGTACTGTTGGTTGTGATTTTGAACCCCCAACACACAGTTAATTGCGATCTGCATGTTAGGTAGGATCTGATAAGCTCCAGTGACGAATCAGTTTGCTTTATTCTTTGCTTTAAGCGCTGTAGGAGACGTTGGTGATGTATGGTGTTGAATGCGGCTGATAAGTCTAAACATATGAATAGAATAACATGTTTTTTGTCCATGGCTGGAAGAATATCATTGTGGACCCTTGTTAGGGCTGTCTCTGTAGTCTGTACTGTGCGACAACCCTTGTGGACTACTCAGTCGATTTAGCTACTGTGGGTATATGAACACAGCTCACCAAATATACTTTTCCAAAAACGTAGGGGATATTGAAATGCAAATACCTATGCAAGTTGTGATATGATAAATAGTCATGGACACTTGACATGCTTTGAGAGTATGTTCACAGATGAAGAACTTATTGCCCCAACAGAACCACTGAGCTGCACATGTGACACACAATAGCGCCATACACGTGGGAGGGGTTCATTGTCAAATTTGACACTTCAAGGAAGGGTTGATGAAAACTGCCGCGTGCTGGTTTATCTATCCATGTTTGCTTTCCTATCGGTTCTTGCATAAGATTTACTGTTTAGCGTAGTTTTGCTTTAGCGTGTTACGTTTAATTTGATCGGGAGACGTGTTCGTTAGTGATGTGCAGTTTTTCGGTTTAACCGTACGGTATCGGTTTTTACATATAAACCGAAAAGCGAACCGATAAAACAAAAAATAACCGTGCGTTTTGGTCGATTTTTTTCCGAATTCCTAATTTTTAATTTACCCGTTTTTCATTTTGGAAATGTTTGAAAAATTCCTAATTTTTATGTAGCCGTACTACGTTTACTTAACAATTCCAAAATTTTAATGTAGCCACCACTTCCATTTTTATTTTCGATCAACCAGATAGAGTGTTTAATAAGTCTGGATGGCCTAGACTATTTATTTTTTCAATTCGGTTCGGTTTATAATCCAAACTTTTATGTAAACCTAAGCCGGTTGTAAATAACGCACGATGGCTTCCTCTAAAAGTAAAATGTCTCCATGGCTTGTTCACTATGAAAGATAAGATGATACAAAATGTAGATGTAATCTTTGTAAAAAAACATATTTCTGCTGCATTCGAAAACACATCCAACTTGAAGGCACACCTAAAATACAAGCATGACAAAGAATATTTAACAATTTTGAGTCAGGTTGAGATCAACAACACCCGAAAACGGCAATGCGTAAGTTATGTTTTGAAGTTGATAAACGAGCTAAAAGACCACATGGCAAATTTTACTCACACCTAGTAAGGTGTAAAGACTTTAACATATTCTGCAACAGACTGCCATTTATTCATAGGTTGGTCAGGGAAATGGAAGTAAGAACTAAGAAAGATTAGAAAATAAAATGGTGGACAAAGTTTGTCAGATCTTTTTTTACAGTAACTTTATTGTTATTGGTAATAAGTCGTTATATTAATTTATTATTATGGTGTTTAACAAAGTTTGTCAGATCTTTTTTTACAGTAACTTTGTTTTTATTTAATTTCTAACAGTTAGAAAAATATTTTAATGGCCAATTTTTTTTTAAATTTAACTTTTTTTTTATGGGCTGTCTGGAATCCGAAACAGTCTTCAACATTGGTCAATTTAAATTAACATTGATGTTGTTATCTTACCGTGAAAAGTTGTAATTCTGATATCCAAAAGACAAAATGAAACATGTAAAATTGCCACATGAATCACGTTACATGTCGTCGGTGGGGAGTCAAAAGGTATCTGGCATATTTTGCAAAATTAACATTTTTTGCTTCTTCAGAATGAGAATGTTCTTGCGCATCTTTTCATCTGGTTGTTATATTTCTAAGCCAATAAAAAGAGGTTTTACAGATATTGTTTCAAAATGTCATATGTGGAGTGTTCCCAAAAAATATTAAGAGCGAAAATGTCATATTTTCTTGAAAAAATCAACCTTGTGTCTTACCAAAGCATTACATTCAAACGAAATATAGCCAGTATTGTTTTGTGGTTAAATACGTATTATTGAATTTTATTGTTGAGCCTCTACTGTGTGAATTCTATGAAATTGAATTATTGAATTATTGAATTTTATTTTTGAGCCTCTACTGTGTGAAATCTATGAAATTGAAGCAGGTAAAGGTGAATTTTTTCCTGAGATACGTCTTTGCTGTATAAAATTGCAAATAACTAGCTTTCACTCCTTATTTTTGCACTAGGTGTTGTGAGTTTGATATGTACGGCTAGTTACACACTTTAATGGCTACCCATACATTCTGTACAGAAATATTTTATATACAACATTTTGAAGTGACGGTAACTTTTTATACGTCCACAAAGAAATGTGGCCGTATATTGCCGTGGATCCGTCCGTCTGTCGTCCACAATTTCTTGTGAATGCTCTAACTCCAAAAGTTATTATCCGATTTTTTTAAAATTGATATGTGATTTACATTAGTGAGATGAAGAAGCCTATTTAATTTTAATAATTTCTGTTCATTACATCGAGAGTTGTGGCCCTTGTTTCACTTTGTTGAACCTTGTGAACACTATTATGCCAAAAGTTATCATCCGATCTTTTTGAAATTTATATGCATTATTTAAATTAGTGAAACTAAGAATCCTATTGAGCAATTTCCGTTTATTACGTCTAGAGTTATGGCCCTTGGTCAGGGGCGGATTGGGGCCAGAAACCGGGCCGGGCTCCCGTGTCGGAGCAGACCCTTTTATTGACCGTGGAGCTCGGAATGGGGGTCCGGGGGCTCTCCCCTTGGAAAATTTTGAAAAATGAACCCCAAATATGCGATTTGGTGGCACATCGGATTATAATCTCTGTCAAATAATATATCTCATAAATCAATTAATTTAGGCCAAAACCCCGACCTGCAAGTAATTTACAACCATCAACCTGTGAAATTATCATATCGTCATATTATTAATTAACGTATTATCATTGTATCGTCAAGAGTCAAGAGAATTTAACTGGTTAAAAAATGGGACTAGTTGAGAAAATTTTGACCATTTGATTAACCAGTTAGGAATATTGAATAAGTATTGAATAAATGTTGAATAAATATTTTCTTTGAAAATGTCCCATTTTTGTTGACGGGAGCGCTAGTTGATTCCTCCCAGGAGTGGGAGCGGACATAGGCGTACGGGACACAATTGATTTTTGAATTTTTGGAAATGGGAGGCCATTCCCGCAATTTGAGACAATTCCCCACATCCCAATTCTGTAATTTCGTCTCTGAAAATAACGAGTTAATAAAAATGTCAAGGAATGTTTAACACAAGCCCCAGGAAATCGTCTCGCACTCATATTCAGTCATCAAATTTTGCTGAGGCCTTAAAATTGATTTTTTTTTGGGGAGTTACGAACCATCGGCAGACGTTTCTGGCTTATCCACGCAAACAGGTTGCGGGCGACAGTGTCAGGTGAATCCGATGAAATTTTCGGATGAAATTCGGAATCCCCATTGCAGGATTCCGAATTCCGGTCCACAGCCAGCACACCCGGCCCAGACAGTCTATTATACCAGCCCATTCCAGACTCCAGTGATGGCGTGGCGGCCTGTTAAATCCACCGGCCACATACAACGTGATCATCATCGCTCCATGGTGCGTCCAATACCCCCACTCCCATATAATGTTCAGCAGAAAAAGGTTTATTAGACGAATTGGACCAAATTATTTTTTTCATTTTTTGTCCGACCGGCCCTTCGGGCGTTCGCCCGATTGCCCAATCCGCCCCTGCCCTTGGTTCACTTTATTGAACCTTGTGAACTCTTTAAGTTTAACGCCAAAAGTTATCATCCAATCTTTCTGTAATTTATATGCATTATTTAAATTAGTGAAACGAACAAGCCTATTGGATTTCAGGAATTTCTGTTTATTATGTCTAGAGTTATGGCCCTTGTTTCACTTTATTGAACCTTGTGAACGCTCTAATGCCAAAAGTTATCATCCGATCTTTGTTAAATTTTTAATTTATATGCATTATTTAAATTAGTGAAACCACGAAGCCTATTGAATTTCAGCAATTTACAATAATTACTTCTCTAGAGTTATGGCCCTTGTTTCACTTTGTTCAACCTTGTCAATGCTCGATTGATGAGACTTATCATCTGATATGTATGAAATTTATATGCATCATTTAAATTTGTGAAACGGAGGTCTATTGAATTTCAGCAATTTCCGTCAATAATTTCTAGAGTTATGGCCCTTGTTTTACTTTGTAAACCTTGTGAATGTTCCGATAACAAAAGTGATCATTCGATCTGTGAAATTTGTATGCATTATTTAAATTAGTAAACCGAAAAAGCCTGTCAAATTTCAACAATTTCTGCAGACTATTTCCAGAGTTGAGGCCCTTGTTTCAGTTTGTAGTACCTTGTGAACGCTTAAATGACAAAAATTATAATCTGATCAGTATGGAACTGTCTTGTAAAGGCCCTCAATTAGCTATAATGGACAATTTAGCTGTTGGTGACTGTCCACATGACTTAGCTGCTGTGGGCATATGTTTTGTTGCCTGGCAACCTATCTTTAGTGTTTTATAAATGTTCCTATTACCTGCAAAAGAATAAGCATACGTGACAACCTTTGTCGAATGATATGATGACTTATCTGCTGTGAGTGCATGCTGCATTGCCTGGCAACCCATCTTCTCATAAAATTGTCTTCTTATAATCTCAAACAAACTTAATTTAAAGTTGATAATTGTTTTTTGACAAAAAAAAAAGTCATTTTTTTTAATATTGTGCTGAATTGGTAAAGCTTGTTAATTAATATGGATAATAACCATTAATGCTTTTTAGTTTTATGTCAAGTTAAATGTGAATTTATGATAGTTTTTTGTATACATCATGTACAGGTATTGTTCTCTGTTGACTAATTGTTCAACTAGAACACAGATAGTGTTAGCCCAGTGAAGTAAAGATACAATGTGTATCCATTACAAGTTAACAAACACTGTCTATTTGTCAAGTTGGACATGTGACATTTTGATGATTTTCTATGACAGCTTGACATCAGTAAGAAGTGGAGCTCATAGCTGTTGGGTAGTGTCAAGGCATTGAATGGTGAACCTTGTTTTCAAAAGCTTGCTGAAACTAATGACAGTAGTAGTTTATGTTAGTCAATCCCAGAATCTATTGTTTATGTTCCGTTTCCTATTGGACAAAAAAGAAAGGAAGTCCTGTATACAGCCTTCATTATGTGATTGGTAAATTTCATCTTCAAAGATTATTTAAAGCCATTGTGTGTATGATTTTGTAGAATCGAAAATTGATTTGTTTATGGAAGCCTTATTTTCACGACAGGTGCATGATTAAAATAATATAATTAACATATACTTATAATTAACATAATATATGCTAAAAAAAACATCATCATATTCATTTTGCCATCCAGATACGTTGGGTTTTTAACAATTTCATAAACATTGAATTTTTGTTAATATTCAGATTCTGAGCCCAAATTGTTGCTATATTTACATGTAGCTATAAGTAAACTGTATAAAATATTGATAGGTGTTGTGCTTGAGGCATTGAATAATTGTTATTTCATCCATTGGCTACAAATATTTCTAGATTTAGATAGAAAATTGATTCTCTATACATATATACTATAGTTGAATTTTAAAGATCACATTGATCAGGTAGCCTGATTCTACAGTTTTGACCTATAACTGTTACTTTAAAATACAATACATGATTCTTAAAGATTGTAATAATTTTCATACTTATTTGTATGTAATGTTAGACATCATGTAAAATGTCATGTAAATTAAGGTTGTGTCTTTCGTACCAGCCACTACTATGCTATGTAAATGTAAGGTTATGGTCTGCAGAGTGCATAGACGGAAGATCTGGGGCATCTACCTCAGAAGATTTGACTGCAACAAATGCAATATTATTATATCTTCATTTATTATCTTGTCCGTGAGGGATGTGTTGGGAGTATGGAGGGCTAGGAGGAATATGCCATAGTGCCACTGTGACATTGCCATACATATTTGTATCTACTATAGCCATGTATTTTATGTTATATGTCATGTTGGGTAATTTGTCTACATTGCCTATTAAATACCAAATCAACATACTGTTGTAATAAATTTGCATTTATATTTCAGAAATATGGAGATAACTAAATAGATAAGAGATAATGAATATAGTGAGAAAAGTTTTATTAATAAAATCATCAATATGTAAATTGAAGTGAGAGAAACCATGCAAGGTACAGTAACAGACACACAAACTCCTAGTACCCAACAAAACCGTACAACACTGCTTCATACAACAGAATATGATACATGTGCTCCTGATCTGGAATCCGATCAAAATGGGCATGAGACAGCACTGGAATCAAGTTTTCCAGATTCCCACTCTGTGTTTTCGGAATTTGTATCCCTGGAAGTACTGAAACGAGACACAACCGTGTCCTCGGACTCGTCAGTGTCCTCTGATTTTTTCGATGATTCGGTGGATCATTTAATATTAGTGCTAAAACATGACAACATCAAAAATATGAAACAGTTTTTACGGACACGATTTTGGATGGTTGATCATGAAATACGGGAGTCTCTGTGGTTGAATCTCTGTCGACATCTACACAAGGCTGATGGTGATATCTATGAGGAAATGGTAACAGAACTATTTCCAGATGGTGAGTTTTACACATTAATAGAATTCTTAAAGATGGGTTCCGGCATACAAACTGGGTGATTTAATGGTATATATGGACTAAAAACATATTCAAACTAAATAATTTGTCATAACTTTGCTTCAAATCCTTTCTCAAACATTGTAATTGCGAAGAATGTCCTGCTATAAAAATTCGATCAAACCAGGTCATGTTTACGTCACATGACTTACCTCAATCGGAAGTCAGAGGAGAATTCATTGCATACATAAGACGATGTTGTCTTTAATCGCTTACTATTTATTACAAATATCGAATCCTACTTAAATTCTCGGATCATCCACTACCTGCGTCTTTTTCCGCCATTTTTATCTCAGAAAGTGTTGTACGTCTAACTCTTCATAAAGTTTATCAACTTGTACATCAAGTGCTCAATGTTCGCGTGTGACCTATGACATCACACATGCAGAAATTGCTAATCGTCGGGCTGTTGATTAGGGGAACCCTTACATTTTTGTCCTGTATACTTTTCTGGGAACCAATCTTTAAATTGTTTTAGTTTATTCAGAGGACCTGCTTTAAAGCACCTACATTTACATGGTCTGAACTACTAGCAAAAAAACAATACATGTACCCTATATATAGCCCTCCCTCGGTCACACAGATGCATCATTCAATATGGTCCATGTAATTTTATTATACCGTACGTCGCACGACACTTTCTTTCAAGATTTTCTTATTAACAGGAGGAATTGTCTATGTCATTATATAAAGTACATGCTGTGGAATAATTCTATTTCAAATGATTCATCTAAACTTTCCCTGTAATCTCTGGAGTCATTTTAAATAATGGAAAATACCATTTTGACATACATGAATTTTCATTGAATATCGGTAATTTGATCAGGAAATCAACTACACATACACTTGCATGTACATGTAGAGTGTAAAATTATTTATGAGGATATATTCTGACAAGGAGTAGGATATATTCTGACATCACCTGTGTCGTCTTGTGGGTTTTCTCCAGGTACTCAAGAGTTCCTCCCAAATGTAATGAGTAATGACTCTTTTGCAGAAACAGATTTTTCAAATAAAAATGTAGCCAAAATGACCTAATTGATGGTTGTAAACAAACCCCAATTTCTCTCCCATTCATTTTTATGGGACTGATGAATAAAAACTTAAAGGTATGTTTTATGCTTTGTTGAATACATGTAGGGTGGTCTGTGGAAATGAGGGCAGAGTTTGTTCTGTGTGTATATATAAGCTAACTATCATTACCTTTGTGTGTATGTAAACTAGTTTGTACTAGTATATTATCAACTAAAGTTCACACTAATATTTACTTTTTCTATTACTGAACTAAAAATAGCCTGACCCCTAAGGAGTTACCTAAATGCGGTGTATGTTTGTTAATCTACCCGGACTATGTATAATAAAGTAATTGTTTTCCTCAATTATATTATAGGATATTTCATTGAAGTCCTTGACATGATTATTATAACTATATCCTTATAATATAAAACAAACATTTCAAAAGCTTTTAACTTCTTCCATTTTTTTAATAAGAAGCTCATTTTACAGCAACGGAAGGTAAATAGAACACACATGTATTATCACCACTATGCAATATTTATATTATGTTCAACTCCTTTATTACAATTGTGACAATTTTCTTATCTGAGTTTTTTTTTACCTGGATTATTTATTTTTTAAAAGGATGCATGTACTAGACTAAAGACTGGTAGATTAAGATGTTATTAATGAATAGGAAATGCTCATTATTGTTGTTTTGAGTTTATAGCTTATATTTAGGTATTAAAATGCTTTCAATGGAGAAAAATGTGTATGCTATCGTTACAATTTAGTCAAATAAGTTCTAACAATAAAGAGCACTGCTTAGAAAATTTTATTTTAAAATCATACGGTGATAGTTTTTTTTAAAGCACACTGGAACAATACCAAACTTAATTTGGTTAATATATTATTTTTTTCTCTCTTTCTTTTACGTGGTTAATTTGGGTATGGGACAATTCGTCCCCGGACAACTTGTCCCCTGACAACTCGTTCCCGGATAATTCGTCCCCGGATAATTTGTCCCCATACAATTCATCCCCAGATATTTAGTCACCTAGGACTATTCGTCCCCAAGGACAATTCGTCCCCTAATTATGATCTGAAGAAATTGAATATCTTGAAACTAACTGATGTCTGGTCTACATTGTTTTATCATACACAATAATGCATATTGATTTTAGTCAAGTGCAGTATTGACAATGGACAATACCCATAGTGAAGGGATAAATAAATTCTCTAACTTACAAAAGGTGTCACTTCACTGACCATAGCTGATAACTACATGCATAAAAAGCTCAAAAAAATGTCAGGAACCATTAAGTCCTAGATTTAATACTAAATGTAAAACGAAGTAAAACTAGCATCAAAACTGAGATTTAGAATAAAAAGTAAAGATTAATTCAGTTTTTATAAGCCCTCATGGAAATGTGGTCGTATATTGCCGTCGCCCTTGTCCGTCCGTCGGTCTGTAGGTCTGTCCATCCGTAGTCCACAATTTCTTGTGAACACTCTACAGACTACATTTATCATCTGTTTGTTTTGAAATTGATGTTGTTTGCATTAGTGAGATGAAGAAGCCTATTTAATCTGAATAACTTCCGTTAATTTCTTCTGGAGTTAGGGCTCTTGTTTCACTTTGTTGCACCTTGTGAATGCTCTAACAACAAAAGTTATTATCCGATCTGTATGAAATTTATATGTATCGTTTAAATTAGTAAAACGAACAAGCCTATTGAGTTTCACTAAATTTCCGTTAATTACATCTAGAGTTATGGGCTATGGCCCTTGTTTCACTATGTTGAATCTTGTGAACGATTGAACGACAAAAGTTATCCCCTAATCTGTATGAAATTCATACGCATCATTTAAATTAGTGAAATGAAGAAGCCTATTGAATGTCAGCAATTTCCGTCAATTACTTCTAGAGTTATGGCCCTTGTTTTACTATGTTTTACTTTGTATCTGTATGAAATTAATATGCATTATTTGAATTAGTAAAACAAAAAAGTCTGTCGAATTTCAACAATTTCTGTAGATACTTCCAAAGTTACAGCCCTTGTTTTAGTTTTTAGAACTTTATGAACCCTCAAACGACGAAAATTATAATGACATCTGTATGAAATTGTCTATTAAATTCCCCTAACCACCTTCAAAAGAATAAATATGCGACAACCCTTGTCGACTGCTCGGACGACTTAGCTGCTGTGGGCGTATGTTTTGTTGCCTGGCTACCTATCTTTGATAATGAAACTACCGGTATTGTTGTTCAGGGAAAAACTGTCCTAGGGGACGAATTGTCCTAGATGACGAATTGTTCGGGGACGAATAGTCCTATGGGACTAATAGTTCTGATACGAATAGTCCGGGGACGAGTTGTCTGTGGACGAATTGTTCAGAAACGAATTGTCCTAGAGCCGGTTAATTTGCACCTGCATTGCTTACAAGTCGATGTGAATGTAGAAAATAGAGTTTAAAAAGATTATCATATATTATTTTATTTGTATTAGATATACATGAAGGTCTGTATGCACATCAATGTAACCGCACATGTATTATGATGCAGGTTAATTAGTCAAGAAACAAACATGTAAAAAAAATTTTACCTCCAAGGATGATTTTAAACTCAATATTTTCCATAAAATTCGAAATTAAAAATATGAATTAAAATTTAATATTCGTCCATTTCGATCAATATTGATGTTGTTATCTTGCTGTGAAAATATGGAATCCTAATATCCAATATTTAAGATATAACGAACATTTTAAAAATCAGTACACAAATCGGGTGCCATTTGTAATGAACAAAAAAAAGCATATCCTACAAGACAATGCACAAGTAATAAGTAATGTTGGCTGATTTACAAACGATAAAATCATAATAAAGAAAAAACGTAGAACCGACTAATCAGGCATAAACAACTACATGTACTGTTCAATTGCTTACAAGTCGATGTGAATGTAGAAAATAGAGTTTAAAAAGATTATCATATATTATTTTATTTGTATTAGATATACATGAAGGTCTGTATGCACATCAATGTAACCGCACATGTATTATGATGCAGGTTAATTAGTCAAGAAACAAACATGTAAAAAAAATTTTACCTCCAAGGATGATTTTAAACTCAATATTTTCCATAAAATTCGAAATTAAAAATATGAATTAAAATTTAATATTCGTCCATTTCGATCAATATTGATGTTGTTATCTTGCTGTGAAAATATGGAATCCTAATATCCAATATTTAAGATATAACGAACATTTTAAAAATCAGTACACAAATCGGGTGCCATTTGTAATGAACAAAAAAAAGCATATCCTACAAGACAATGCACAAGTAATAAGTAATGTTGGCTGATTTACAAACGATAAAATCATAATAAAGAAAAAACGTAGAACCGACTAATCAGGCATAAACAACTACATGTACTGTTCAATTTGAACTATTCACATATTTCACCAAACAATATTGATTAGAAATTACAATAAAAAAATTTAAAAATTGAATATAAATCACTTTATATACATTCAATTCATATTATATCAATATGTGCCTTTAAACCCATATTTATACGCCCACATTTTCATATGTTAATAGAATACATTATCAAAAAACCATTGTATTCTTCTATTGATTATTGTATATCAACTTATCTGAATATCAAATGCATCATTTTGACTTAGTCAGAATTGATCCCATCAAACCGTCTGCAATTAGTTTTTGTTACCTGTTTCTATCGATTGGAAGTTTCTCACATTTTCATGTGGATGTATTATGCCGTCGCCCCTGTCCGTCTGTCCGCACATCCACAATTGTTTGTGGACACTCTACAGCATAGGTTCCACGTCGGCCGTATATGCCGGTCGAGACCTACGGCTATGGAAAATGACCGTTCCTAGATCTGACCTAACGGTCATTTTGCACGCCGGAAAGAGGGTCTTTTTTTAAAAAAAAAAAACAACAAAAAACTTGGCTACGATCGACCTTCACTGTGTAACTATACAAGAATGCACGTCGTCTAGAAGCTAATCTCGTGATTGGTGTTATAGAGTTGTATATATAGTCGTCAACAGATTATACTGAGTGTTGTGTTGATAATTAATGATGAGTGTCTGGTAGTAGAACAATAAATGTTAATTGATAAGTGGGAATCTAATCAACGGCGTGAAGCGGCCCATTGTTAATCATTCACGTATTGTCGACGTGTCATAAGAATTTTCAACAACAAAGCCGTTTACCGCTATTATGGTCAGGCACAATGTAAACAAGGTTATTATGATCTTCGAAAAAGGGCAATTGATATGAAGTATTGCTCTTCGAATCCAACCAACTGTCATATAAAATAAAAAAAAGCATAGAAATTACGTAAGTCCTCAACAACGTACGTGTTGGGAGAAAAATGCATTTAAAAATGTTTATAGCGGTATTACGGCCTCGTGGAAATTGTTGAAATAAAATCTAGAGATTAGTTAACTTGCTTACCGAACAATTCAGAAAAATACGTATTCCAGTTCTATTGTGCAGCAATATTGATAATTCCACGTGTAGAAGAAATGTCGTGTATATACGGTTACTCTTATACACGGCCATATTCTAGGGGGCGCTAGTGTCGCTAGCCGTGAAGTTAGTTATCCGTTAGTCATTTAGTTATACATTATTAGGATTTACGTCACAATTCTGCGGCCCGTAATTCCGTGAGAGATGGTCTAAAACCCAAAAATTGTGAGATATATGACATGGATAATTATATATTTATCTTCATTTCAAAGTTATTGTATTACAACTCAAAATTATCCAGATCAGTGTGTTTTCTATAGAGCACGTGTTAATTATGTGTGAGCTACTGAAATGGTTTTTCTCCGGCCAATTCAGCTATTTCGTTATTTAAGTAGCCAAAAACAGAATATTTAATTATTAAATAATTATCATGAGCCTTACTAATATTTCATTTTTAAGTCATATTTTTTTTTTTGTGCACCCCATGGTGACAAAGTGGTATAGACACGTGAATTCACAATACCCTACCATGAATAAAAAACATGAAATATGAATTTACTTTGAAAAGTTTTCGTGCGTCATCAAAAATGACCGGCAGTGGAAATTTTGAAGTGGAAGCCCTGCTCTACAGGTCACAATTTTTATCCGATTTCTACGAAACATGAAATATAGGTTTATCTCCCTAAGATCTCGGTTCCTTTCGATATTGGCATGTATCGGATCATAACTTCATGGATTATGGCCCCTGGTTGTATGAAAAATTGCCTTTTTAGCTTGTGGACCCTATAGAGGTCCCAATTTTTATCCGATTTTGTTGAAACTTGAAACTTAAGTTTATAACCCAAAGATCTTGGTTCCTTTCGATATTCGCACATATCGGATAGTAACTTCCTAAATTATAGCCCCTGATTTTACGAAAAGTCGTGTTTTTAGCTTGAGGTTCCTCTAGATGTCACAATTATTATCCGGTGTAAAAAAACGTTCAAATATATCACTGTTAATAATAAATAATAATAATAATGAACTTTTATATAGCGTCTTCTCCATGTTGACACATGCTCAAAACGCTTTTTGTAATGGCTCTACTGGTAAAACTGTTGAAACAGGAAAGTCTTTAGTGCGGATTTAAATTGATTAAAAGTTTGTTGATTCTTGATCTGTTGTGGAAGTTCGTTCCATAATCTAGGACCAGCTGAACTGAAAGACCTATACCCATATGACTTCAAATTATATCTTGGAACAACTAGTGACTGTTTATTTTGAGAGCGAAGTGATCTAATAGGGTTGTAATCATATAAGAGTTCAGATAAGTATTGAGGAGCTGCATTATTGCGACATTTATACACTAATGTTAGTATTTTGTATTTTACTCGCGCCTCAGCAGGTAACCAATGTAAAGAAGCCAGCACATTCTGGATGTGATCAAACTTATGTGTCCTTGTTACTATTCGGGCTGCAGTATTAAGAACCTTTTGGATCTTGGCTAGAAATGCTTGTGGGATTCCATAGAGTAAACTATTACAATAATCAATCCTTGATAAAATAAGTGATCTCACAAGTAGTTTACAAGCGTCAGCAGTGAGATAGTTTCTGATGTTGCATATACAGCGTAGATGATAGTAGCATGTACGGCATACCATATCAACCTGAGCGTCCATTGTCAGAGAAGGATCAAATATCACTCCAAGGTTTCGAACATTTTTGGAGAAATTTATTTCTGAATTACCAATGGTGATTTTAAGATCAGGTAGTAACTTGAGTTGTTGTGATGAACCTACTAAAAGAGCCTCTGTTTTATCGTCGTTCAATTTTAGTTTGTTCGCTTTCATCCACTGTTTAACACCATAATTTTGGTTGAGTTCGCATTTCATGAAAACTAGACCAAAACTGCCGGACAAAATGGCCGCCCCTCGTACACAATTAAAAACATCTGGTCACAATTTTGATCGGTTTTTGATGAAACTTGAAATGCATGTTTATAACCCAAAGATCTTGGTTCCTTTCGATATTCAGGCATATTGGGTAGTAACTTCCTGAATGTATGAAAAATCATGTTTTTAGCTTGTTGTCCAATTATCCGATTTAAAAAAACCCTGTAAATATATCACCATTACACACTAAGATCTTGGTTCCTTTTGATAATCGCGTATATCCGAATGTAACTTCCTGGATTATGGCTCCTGATTGTTCGAAAAATCGCATTTTTAGCTTGCAGTCTCTAGAGGTCACAATTTTTTTTTCCGATTTTAAAAAACGTTTAAATATTTCACCATTCTACCATAATGATGGTTGAATTCAAATTTCGGAAAAATGAAAATGAAACTGACCGACAAAATGGCCGCTCTTTGTACGCAAATTGTGTAAAAGTATGCAATACGAAGGTTGTGGACCCTGATGAAACTTAAAACATATCTTTATATCCCAAAGATCTCAGTCCCTTTTGATATTTGCGCATTTCAGACCATAACTTTCTGGATTATTGGATCTGATTGTACAAAAAATCCCGTTTGTTTTTAGCTGGTTCTCTATCCATCTCTTGCAATATGTGGGCGTATCCTGCCTGGCAGCCGCTGGTTAGTTAGTGGATTCTCTAGAGGTCACAATTTTTTTTATCTGATTTTGAAAACTGTTTAAATACATCACCATTCCACCATAATGAAGGTTGAATTCGAATTTCAGGAAAATCGAAACGAAACTGCCTGACAAAATGGCCGCTCTTTGTATGCAAATTGTATAAAAGTATGTAATACGAAGCTTGTGGACCCTCTAGAGGACACAATTTTGATCCAATTTTGATGAAACTTGAAATACATGTTTATAACCCAAATATCTTGATTTCTTTTAATATTTGCGCACATCGGATTGTAACTTCCTGAATTATGACCCTTGATTGTACGGAAAATCACATTTTTAGCTTGTGGTCCCTCTAGAGGTCACAATTTTTATCCGATTGAAATTTTTTTTGAATATATCACCGTTACACCCTAATGACGTTTGAGTTCGAATTTTTTGAAAATGGGACAAAAACTGACGGACAAAATAGTGTACATATATGGTATATCAAGGTTGTGGTTCCTCTAGAACTAGAAGTCACAATTTTTATCCAATTTTGATGAAACTTAAAGTATATCTTCATATCCTAAAGATCTCAGTCCCTTTCAATATTTGCGCATTTCAGACCATAACTTTCTGGATTAAGGTCCCGGATTGTACGAAAAATTGCTTTTGTTTTTAGCATGTTCTCTATCCATCTCTTGCAAAATGTCGGGGTACCTTGCCTGGTAACCGTTGGTCATCTAAAGGTTAAGAAGATAGAGCCATACACCCTATAAGCTGTCTTGTTTTCTCTGAATTTTGACTAAATACTGTAAGTTAGCCAACTGCATAGCTACACATTATTTATACTAGCTCTGCCATGAGGATTAAACTCCTTATGACTATTTGAATAGCTTGAAATAAATGGTAGATTTACCAAATACCATTGTCACTGTCAGTAAATTAAAATTTGTTCATTTTGTATTTTCAGAAAATATAAAAGATGTCGCCTTGCCAGGATTTATTGACCAGAATAACCTGACACCATATTTTTTAACCAATGATGGTGTACATCAAGCAGCAAAGATATTAGCTGTTATAATTAATATGAACCCAGATATAACTTATTGTCCCCCTGTCTTCTCTCTATCTTGTCTCTTTCTACATTATATGAACTCTAACGAATGTTTTAACTGTCTCTACGGTTTACTCAGAAGTAAAGATATCAACTATTTGATGCAGACACGGGTAGCATGGGATGCCTCTAAATATGTCATGAAAGATTTGACCAAGAAATATGCTGTAAGTAGGCCTACTAGCATGTCTGTATAACTACTATAAACTACTTCATAATTATTATAATTTGTAAATCTTACTATAGCGTTTCAAGGGAGGTAATCCCACACTTACTATATTATTGGGAAGCTTGTAAAGGACAATATTGGTGCCAGTCGTTATCACATATGTGATAGAGCTGGTTAAACACATTCCAAATATAATTTTAACACAGAGATCATTGCTAAGATAGCTGAGTAATACAGGTTTCCTGAATTGGAAGTGAAGAGCGCCAAAGGAAAACAGGAGTCATCCCTCTATATAACTGACTGATGTGACGAGTGATAACAGATACACGGCCGAATTTCTGCTCACTAATTAATAATTCCTTCGAAGACCAAAAGTTGTTATATGGGACTGGAAGAGGATACCTGACAATTCAATAAAGTAATTGAATGTCATTAGATAAGAGAACACGAGAAAAATAGAAATAGTCAGTACATTCCCTTGTTTATATTCATAAAAACATGGTAATGCACAGACTTTTTCTGTTTTTCTTTCGTGTTCTCTTATCTAGTGGCAGTCAATTGTTTTTATAAGGTATAGAATGAATATAAACAAGGGAATGTACGGACTATTTCTATTTTGTCTTATCTAATGACATTCAATTACTTTATTGAATTGTCAGGTATCCTCTTCCAGTCTCACACAACAACTTTTGGTCTTGGAAGGAATTATTAGTGAGCAGAAATTCGCCCATGTATCTGTTATCACTCGTCACTTCAGTCGGTTATATAGAGGGATGACTTGTGTTTTCCTTTGGCGTTCGTCACTTTCGATTCAGAAAACCTGTATTACTCAGCTATCTTAGCAATGATCTCTGTGTTAAAATTATATTTGGAACGTGTTTAATTAGTTCTATCACATATGTGATAATGACTGACACCAATATAATTGTCCTTAAAGCTAAAGAACTCTGTATGCAAAGATTTATTGGTTTGCTATAAATTATGCAACTTGCTATATATGTATGGGCGCTGCTGGTAGACAATCTGTATCACCATATCCATAACAAAAGGCGTGTGATGGAAGATAATTGTCTTTTGCCTGACAAATTGTCGCCACGAGAAATTAGGCTGTTGACAACAATAATCCTATATGTATACAGGCATTTAGAAATTCCTCATATTTATATGTCAGCATATGATACATTATTCCATGTAAAACAAAATATTCTGATTTTCATAAAATCCTTCTTAAAAAAAACGTGATGCAGGATAAAGTTTTTATAGTGTCAAAGGATCATTGGGCTACACGTAAGTGACTTCCCACAAATTTCAGATAAAAGGTTTTACTTTTATCTGCATCTTTCAGCATACATGTACCTTAGTAACCACATTGAAATTTTCTAATAATCGTCGTAGTCAATCTACCTGCATTGTGTGAAACTTTACTCTTCTAATGCGAGGTGGGATGCAGTGAAATTATACATTTGTACATGTATGGTGTCTGCTTTGTGTTTTGCCTAATGGATTGTCACTATCAGGTATGAATTCCAGGTACCGGTAGATATTAAAATAATAACTGGGTCATACATTGATGGATTCACTGACCAAATGTTAGGTAAATTTAAATCTTCAGTGAATATAATCCCCTGATAGAACACCGGATACACCGAGAAACAGTCATTTAATAATAAATTTTCCTGATAGAATTCCAATGACACGTGACATATCGCTTGGAATTAGGTCAATAAACCAGTTCTAAATAGCGCTTACCGTTATGATTTTTATACGCCCACATTGAAATGTGGTCGTATATTGTCGTCGCCCCTGTCCGTCCGTCCGGCTGTCCGGCATCCACAATTGCTTGTGGACGCTCTAGAGGCTAAAGTTAATATCTGATTGACTTTGAATTTATACACAGTGTTCAAGGTCTTGAGACGAAGAAGCCTATTGATTTTCAGCGATTTTCGATAATTACTGCCAGAGTTATGGCCCTTGATCACTTTGAAAAATCTTGTGGACGCTCTAGAGGCCAAAGTTAATATCCAATTGACCTTAAATTCATACACAGTGTTTAAGGTCATGAAACGAAGAAGCCTATTGATTTTCAGCGATTTCCGATAATTACTGCCAGAGTTGTGCCCTTGATCACTTCAAAAATCTTGTGGACGCTCCAAAGGCCAAAGTTAATATCTGATTGACTTTAAATTTATACACAGTGTTTAAGGTCATGAGACGAAGAAGCCTATTTATTTTCAGCGATTTCCGATAATTACTGCCAGAGTTATGGCCCTTGATCACTTTGAAAAATCTTCTGGACGCTCTAGAGGCCAAAGTTAATATCCGATTGACATTAGATTTATACACAGTGTTTAAGGTCATGAGACGAAGAAACCTATTGGTTTTCAACGATTTCCGATAATTACTGCCAGAGTTATGGCCCTTGATCACTTCAAAAAATCTGGTGGATGCTCTAGAGGCTAAAGTTAATATCCGATTGACTTTAAATTTATACACAGTGTTTGAGGTCATAAGATGAAGAAGCCTATTGGTTTTCAGCGATTTCTGATAATTACTGCCAGAGTTATGGCCCTTGATCACTTCAAAAAATCTCGTGGACAGTCTAGAGGCCAAAGTTAATATTCGATTGACTTTAAATTTTTACACAGTGTTTAAGATCATGAGACGAAGAAGCATATTGATTTTCAGCGATTCCTATATTTGCTGCCAGAGTTATGGCCCTTGATCACTTTGAAAAATCTTGTGGAAGCTCTAGAGGCCAAAGTTAATATCCGATTGACCTTCAATTTATACACAGTGTTTAAGGTCATGAGACGAAGAAGCCTATTGATTTTCAGCGATTTCCGATAATTACTGCCAGAGTTATGGCCCTTGATCACTTCAAAAAATCTTATGGATGCTCTAGAGGCTAAAGTTAATATCCGATTGACTTTAATAAAATTATACACAGTGTTTGAGATCATGAGACGAAGATACCTATTGATTTTCAACGATTTCCGATAGTTACTGCCAAAGTTATGGCCCTTGATCACTTTGCGAAATCTTGTGACGCTCTAAAGGCTAAAGTTATCATCCGATTGATTTCAGATTGATACACAGAGTTTAAGATCTTGAGACGAACAAGTATATTGATTTTCAATGAATTTTTATGACTTGGAACGTTAAATCCATGATATTAAAAGCTTTGTATACAAAACGTTAGCATGGGGCAAAACTTTATAAAAACCAAACAAATTCTAATACTTTTCTGATAATTACTTCGTGAGTTGTTGCTCTTAATCAGATTTTAGTGTATTATAAATGTTTCATTAGCTGCTGTGGGCGTATATGTTTCGTTGCCTGGCAACCTATCTTTTTTTTATTTTATACACATTCTGACAAAGGCTTAATTTTAAAAATATTGTTTTTATTGAAGGCTATATCATAATCGTACGGAATTCTTATTTTAAAGCAATTTCAAGTATGGTTGTGACAATTGTGCCGTGTGTCTATCAATTGACGAATGAATACAAAGTTTTGCCAATTTATGTGACTAATTATGATAGACAAAGACTACAAATTGTGTTATGAAGAAATGCCATGGTGCCGTATCAGCTTATTTTGGCTACGGCATTTTCTGATAATGGCAATAGTTGAAAAATGCTAATATTTTAGATAATCGACTTATGAAACGCGAACGTTTCATCGAATAAACGAAGACAGTAATTAATTTATTCTGGAATATTACGGACTTGAACTTCAAGATGGTACGTGCATTAAATATGGAAAATTTTCAAAAGGTGTACCTGTTGTTATTTTTATGGTAATAAAATACATTAAAATACGATATTCTCCACAACAAATTACCAAGAATTATTTTTGTTGAAGTCTAGTTATATTAAAGGGAATGGAGCTTTATATAACCCATATCCTATGGGACCTCAATTGACCCAATTCTGGCCGGTTCGTTTCAAAATAGATTAAGAACCCTGATGCTTACCCATCTCAAACATCTTGAAACAGAATGTAGTTTGAGATAATTTTGTGCATAATCTGTGATGTCATCATATTGCGATACGTATCGGTTTGCCGTATCATCAATACGTATCGTATCGAAAATCAACTGTATCGACACAGCCCTAGTGTACACATGCCTAAGAACATATAATATTCTTTTTAGTTTTTGTGGATTCCATCTTATGGATAAGATAATGTTACCTTTATAACTTGTATTTGACAGAAATCAGCATATGTACATATGATACGACAGTGTAGTAATATAGAGAGTATATTTGAGCGATGGATCTGGTGGATATTTAGTGATTTACCATTTGAATATATCGTAAGTATTTCTATAATAATATTAATAATATTCTATACTATTTATGTTTTGACAATATTCAGTTTCAATGATTTTCTGACAAATTCAAATTTGCAATATACTGTGAATGATGGCGATATCCCAACATATTTTTAAAACCATGTGTCACTTAACTGAGAGGAAACAAACATGGACATGTTACACTTATTAACAAAATAGATAACTTGGAAATTATTTTGACACATCATTTATCTAGCTTTCCCTGCCTTACTACAAATCAAAATCAGTATTTGTATTTCCTTCCCTACATCTCAAAACTTTTGCAAATTCAAAATCCACTTTTTTGACAAAAATATACTGAGTGCTAATAGGGTTTTGGGTGGCAGTAGTTGCAGCAGGCACAATAAATTCTGTCATCAATAATTTGGTTTTAATTTTCACAGATGTCTGTTTCGAAATGTCAATGTATGTAAATTGTGACATATTCTGTTGAAGGATATTGCTATATTTTACTAATGGAAGGTCAAATGTTTAGTTTGTTTTTGTTATCCAAGGTGAATATAGTAGAACTTCAACATGTTGAAAAACAATTAACATTGAAACTTAAAAAGATTTTTTAAAACAGGAAACAAAAGTCTTGAGTTAATCACTTTGTACAAACTGGACATGATGTAAGATACTATACGACTTAATTAATTTTTATCCAGATCTAGTAGTAAATCAAAAAAGTATCAACAAATTATCTTTTTGTCAACCTGCTAAAATGAAGATGTAGGAGTTTAATTTGTCAGGAAGTGGTTAATATTTTACAAGATTACGTGCACAGGTTAACGTTCATATAAAAAAACTAATGGTAAGAAAATGCTGATCTGGACAAAAGAAATGTAATATCTTTATACACCCACATTTTCATGTGGACGTATATTGTCATCCCCCCTGTATGTACGGACGTCTGTATGTGGACACTCTACAGGTCACAATTTTTATTCGATTTTGACAAAACTTAAAATATAGGTCTATCTCCCAAAGATCTTGATTCCTTTCAATATTGGCATATATCGGACCATAACTTCATGGATTATGGCCCCTGATTGTACGAAAAATCTCGTTTATAGCTTGTGGACACTCTAGAGGTCACAATTTTCATCTGATTTTGATGAAACTTGAAATGCATGTTTATAACTCAAAAATCTTGGTTCCTTTTGATATTTGCGCATGTCGGATCCTAACTTCCTGAATTTTGGTCCTTGATTGTACAAGAAATCATGTTTTTAACTTGTGGTCCCTCTAGAGGTAACAATTTTTATCCGATTTAAAATACCCATTTGAATATATCACGGCTGAGTTCGAATGTTGTGAAAATCGGACCAAAACTGCTGGAAAAAATGACCGCCCCTCGTACGCAAATAGTGTAAATATATGGTATATCAAGGTTGTGGACCCTGGCCACAATTTTGATCTGATTTTGATGAAACTTGAAATACATGTTTATAAACCAAAGATCTTGGTTCCTTTTGATATTCGCGCATATTGGATTGTAATTTCCTGAATTATGGCCCTTGATTGTACGAAAAATCTTGTTTTTAGCTTGTGGTCCCTCTAGAGGTCACAATTTTTATCTGATTTAAAAAAACAAAAAACCTTTGAATATATCACCGTTACACCCAAATGATGGTTGAGTTCGAATTTTGTGAAAATGGGATCAAAACTGACGGACAAAATAGTGTACATATATGGTATATCGAGTTTGTGGATCCTCCAGAAGTCACAATTTTGATACAGTTTTTATGAAACTTGAAATATATCTTTACAACCCAAAGATCTTGGTTCCTTTCGATATGTGTGCATATATGATCGTAACTTCCTGAATTATGGCCCTTGATTGTACGAAAAGTCGCTTTTCGTTTAGCTTGTTCTCTATCCATCTCTTGCAAAATGTCGGTGTATCTTGCCTGGCAGCTGCTGGTTATCATCTAGCCACCTAGATTTCCTTTGATTAGACCCAAAGATTAGACACTAAAATTTCAAATCACCATTGCCTAAAATATACCAAACATTACAGGACTAGATTCACATAATAATATGCAAAAATTTGATGCTTTTTTGGATTCCAAGTATTTGGTAATTATGTCAACATGTCAACACACAATTTTACAAGTCATTTCATCTACAAATACTTTTATCTTAAGTTAAGCTTATACTGGGGGATTTTAAAAGAATTTATAAAAAACAGTATGAAATTTAATACTTACAATAATAAAGTAACCTAAAATAAACACATATTTTTCAAAGTTTTGGGGTTAGTCATCATATAAACAAAGATTTGGTGTTTCAGTATTTATCCTATGCTGAGTAAAGTTTGGGAGGGATATTTAAACTGGCTCTGTTAGTCGTGAGTCTGTCCCGATTTTGTTTTTGGAGCATATATCTCAAAAACTATTCAAGATATTTTTATAAAACTTTTATATGGCCTTAATTTTACTGAGATCAGAAAAGATGACCTCGCTTCTGGAGTTAAGAGGAATTACATTTGAAAAGTTATGAATACAGTGTTTAAAATCTCATCGCATTAACTCGCCAGTGCATGGCAAACAGGCGTCAATGGTGTAGGCATCGTAGAAATTTGGGTAATCGTCGATGTGCGTATGTAATGTTCTCAGATGGTCCAGATTTACTCTGGATTTCACCGATAGGCGTGCTCGCGATTGGAGGCGTGTAAATGAGCGTCATGCTAACGTTAGCGTCGGGCATGGGTCTGTTATATTGTGGGGAGGAATCACCATGACTGGCCGAACGTACTTGCATATTGTTCAAGGAAGGGTCACTGGTGTGTACTACCGTGACCACATCCTGGCACTGATAGTTCTGCCCTTTGCTCAATGCGTAGGCTGAGGTTTCATCTTTCAAGACGATAATGCCCGTGCCCCCGGCGCTCATGTCGTCAATGACTACCTCCAGCATCACCATATTGTCCATGAGCCTTCACCGGCCATGAGTCCTGACCTTTCCCCTATAGAGCATGTCTGGGACATTATCGGGAGACGTGTTCATCCGACAACACTGCAAGAATTGGCCGTGGCACTGCAATAACTGTTTATGTTCACGTGTAGGCAATTGGCATGTTATCAACATACACTGGTTACCTCTAATAAAAACAGCAGTGCATTTCCGCATTTTTGTATTGTATTGTGAGTATATAACATTTAAGAAAGTTAAAATCAATGTGTTAAAAGTGTACATGTACCTATACGTGTAACTAGGTGGACAAACATATTGTAAGTAATTTCTTAATTTGATAATGAAAACTGAATCTATGTATAATGGTGTGATAATCTGCCAATCGCTAAGATAATTAATGTTTTTTAAATTAACCACTTTAAGGTCAACTGGCTAGTAAGTCGTTAACCTGTCATCACTTTTCAACCTGTCATTTGGTGACGACGTTAATCCAGTCTATTGTTTTTGTTGATTTATTATATTGTTTAATCCTTTATGCATTGTTCATCAATCGACGTGTCAGTTTTAATTACAGTATTTACTTTTATCTGATTTTCCTTAAATATACCACAATTGTACATTGATGGTAGTCACTAGTTAGGATTCCTTATTAAGTGCAGTAACTGGCCTGTCAGTACTGTAAAATACATAAAATAAAACCAAGTACGAACAATCCAAACCATTAGACAAAATTCAAAGTCCTAAAAAAACGGTATAGGCAAAATAGTGTAATACGGCAAAAATAGTGTAATCAGCAAATGGACTGTTCACCGTGTACAAAATACACGACAAACAGTGGTAACAGGTGTCCGGAAGAGTTGAGCTTACCCTGCCTGGTGCCACACCCGCCATAGCTGCATCCAAACTATTAGGCGAAATCTCGGTAAAATAGCGTGATTGGCCAATGGACCTATTGGTATGCAAAATGCATGTGATGAACAGTGTTAACGATGTAGTAGACAAACATTATCAGGGAGATTGTATATGCGTCAATTAAATATATCTAGAATAATAGCCGAGAGACATGTTATATTTACAAATCAAGTCAATATGACGCCCATAAAACTTTATAAAGATTTTAATAAGTTTAGTTCGCAAGTATCCCTGTAGTTGAAGCTTAGATGACAAATGCCTCGATCTACTTAAAAAATCAGAATAAAATGAACAAGCTCTTGCGTAACAAATTAGTTGAGACACAAACACTCCATAAGCTGGTGATATTGGAATGTTACTACTAATAAATGGAAAGTTAACAATCGGAAAGTCAAAGTCATCACGTTTATCGTTCAATTTAACACTAAGTTTATGGCAATTGTCAAAATCGAGACGCAGATCCAAGTAGGAAGCGTAATTGTTACTGTCAGTAGTGTTTTTAATTTTGAGCTCATCAGGATATATGAATTCTAGATAATCACTAAATTTTGGATTATTCAGTGATAGAACATCATCGATATATCGATAAGTGAAATTAAAATGTCTGACTAATCGTTTATTTGATTTTACAAGTGCCTGTATGTGATCGGCTTCGTAGGAATAGAGATATGTATTTTATGTTCCGGTATATTAAAAAATTGAAGAATCATTCGAAGTCTGTTATATCCAAAGAGAAAATTTACACGTCTAAATATGCATCTCTTTTTTTAATGTAATAGAAATAATCTAATAAAATCTCAAATTATTTTGGAAACATCACATCGATTTTGTAGCATTTTATGTTTTTAAAATTAATGAAACAGTCCCAGATTTCACAAGGATACTGTAAACAGGGTTTAATATACAAATTATACAAATTGAAGAAATGGCTTGTCTTCAGAGTTTCTGCTCGGCATATATTGTTGTTTGGAAGTGGTCGTTAGGTTAACTTATGTAACTTATGTAATGAATTCCATTGTTGAGTTGCATGAGTGACATGATGACTGTGACAATAGCTTAATTAGCACTGGTGTACAGGTAGACATGGCTATCCAAGCACAATTGTTTAATTTAGTGACATGATTACTGTCATTCATGTACGAAAACTGAAAGTTTGTATTCTGCAAAAAAATACCTCACAGATAGAGATAGGTGTACAGGACTAAGATCAAGATTTCTAAAGATCTTTAACTTGTTTGGTTGGCTATAATAATTGTCCCCACCTTTCAAAGAAAGCAGGGGACTATTAAAATGGGTTCGTCCGTCTGTCTGTCTGTCTGTTCTTTTTGGGACACAATAACTCTCCTTCTAATTGAGGTAAAATGTTTAAACTTGATGTAGATGTTCATTAGGTGAATGCCTTGACTGAGTTCAATTATTAACATTTCGAGCTAATGCTTTAGAACAAGATAACTTTGATTTTATCTGATAATCAGTTTGATTGCTTGATATTTTTGAAAAAAATAAATGTGCGATAAATTAAAATGTGTCATCTATTTATTTTGGGATTTCCGCGGGGGACATCAGCCTCACTGTTGGCTTGTTCCATTTGCGGCCTTAGGCCATGGAGTACGTTTAGTTAGATGTCCATCCCTTTATTTAATAAAATATATTGTTTGGTAGAAATGACTGTCAATTGATTTAGAGTGTTATATACTCTTACGATATGTGACATCTATGACTAGTTTATAGATGCTGTCGGCTCACATCAATGCGATTAAAATGTCCGCCAATAGAGAAACCACAAGGTAAACATGTGGGTTAAAATTATAATCACTCTTATTGGATTGATGAATAGTCCGACAAAGGGGAAGCAATGACTTTTGTTTAAGATTAGATTGATAAATTGTCCGACAAAGGATTAAGTCAGACAATCATGGCAGATTAAGTAGTTAATCAAGGTAGGTGTATAGACGGTATAACATGATAAATACGTTGATCACTTAATTACCTAATCAATCCAGCCTATTATCAACGATAATCAGGTTGAGTGGTAGTTATACACTCAGTACACTATATTAATTTTGGAATTTTGAATATTATTCACCATGTCTTGATGTCCGATTGGGCATATTCCCGTTCAGAAATTTGGCCCTTTGGAAAATAGCGTTGGACAAGTTCGGAATATACGGGCGAAATCCCATCCCTGGTATAGACGTCTAAAAATCTATTTATGTACAATATATACTGTCGTGTGTGCTCCATTATCTTAAAACTGATTAGTTGTGTCTTTGTCTAGGTCAGTTATAAAAAATCAAAGAAAACCATTTTCTTTATGTTAAAAAAAATCAAAGAAAACCATTTTCTTTATGTTAAAAAAAATCATTTTCTTGGTTTCCTTATTGTGCCATAACATTAATGTACTTTAAATTTTAGATTCTTAAAGTTATTATTACAGCAACATATGCATTATAGATTCTTAAAGTTATTTACTTATTATGACATCAATTCTGCATTATAGATTCTTAAAGTTATTATTACAGCAATATATGAATTATATATTCTTAAAGTTATTTACTTATTATGACATCAATTCTGCATTATAGATTCTTAAAGTTATTATGGCAATTATGCATTATAGATTCTTAATATTGTAATTTTGCATTATATTATAGATTCTTAATGTTATCATTACAACAATAATGCATTATAGATTCTTAATGTTATTATGACTGCAATATATAGCTATCAAAGGGATTATACATATATACTTACTCTAAGCCCTTTTAATGAATTACACACTGTGCATTTTGAGCTTGTAAAACTAATCTACCATACATGTATTTGACGTAATTATTTCCAAAAGTACAACAAATTTTAAACATGAGCACCAGGAGAAAACCCATGCACCAATTGACCAACCCAATCCTTAATGCAGTCAAAATTATCTCATTCTGACATAAAAGTCATAATACCTTGACATGGTGATGGTGTTTGTTGTCGTCTGTTTTGAGAAAGTCAGGGATGAGGGTATATTACTATAATAATTCCAATTGTGTCAACAATAACACGTTCAAGTAGAGAGATTTATATGTTTGATCTAGTTAATACTGTAAATAAGTTTGCTGTCTTGTGTTTTTTATAATTGTTTGATTACTGTCTATCTTCCTCTCTCTCTCAGGTAAAAATAATTGACTGCTTCCTCTTGGAAGGTGTTAAAGTTTTATACCGAGTAGGGTTGGCCATACTCATAACATTTGCCAAACACAACGGTAAGTCTTTACTTTCTTTAATTTACAAGTTTACAACTTGGATAATTTTTGGAATCTGTGCCTGTAAATCTATTTTAAAGTTATTTGTGTAAATGATTGGTGAAATAATATAGTTTATTTACTGAATTTTGGCTGAGAAATATTTGGCATGTGAGCTGGAAAAAGGCTACTCTTAATCTGCAAAAATTCTGTCCTAAAACAGCTCTACCAGTTTTCTCAAGTTGAGGGATTTGGTAAAGAAGAGTTGATTGAGTGAAAAACAATTACTGATTGTAGTCTTCTCATACTAAAGGAGTCAATTTCTAGTTAATATAAAAATAACACATTAAAGATGCATTATGTAAGATAAAGAGCTGGCCGTTCTTGCTATAATAGTTTAAAAATAGATAATGAATAATGAATATTGGAAATTTCAGTTAAATTAGTTTATTCTGAGTTAAGTTAGGAGTGTTTGAAGCTTTGACACAAAAAACATAAAGTCTTGATTGTCAAGTTCCATTGCTACTATTATGAATGAAATCTTGATTTTCCATTGGAACATTAAACTATAATATGGTGCTGGGGTTCTATTCTATTCAATATCCCAGCCTTTTAATGGTCTAGAGAGTTGATTTAGGCTTGTCATATGATAAATGTATAAATGATAATTTAAATAACATTTGAAGCCAAATAAAATTTTTGCAATAGACTGATAATGCATCTTTTAAATTGATATGTCAACAGTGGTGTGTTTAAATGCTTTCTGACATTTAGTTGAAAGTTGAGTCTTCACCAGAGCAGATAATTAGGCTAAAATCATTGACCATAGGTCTACATACTATAAATTTGAATGTTAACTTTTAATTTGTTTCTTTTTTAAAGTAATGAGATATTTTAATTTGTTCTCCCAGGTCGGAGAAATAGTCGTGAAGTAGTAGGAAGTAATTTAGGAGTAACAATAAAGTTATTCTGTGACAAGATGCCTATTAATATCAACAAGTTACTAAAGGTAAGTTTTATAAGTCAAACCATGTATTATAAGGTCCATGGTTAAACAGAATAATATTTATTTCACCCTTTTTTGTAATCTACACCTTGTGTGCATTTTTATACGCCCACATGGAAATGTGGTCGTATATTGCCGTCACCCCCGTCCGTTTTCCACAATTTCTTGTGAACACTCTACAGACTACATTTATCATCTGATTGTTTTGAAATTGATATTGTTTGCATTAGTGAGATGAAGAATCCTATTTAATTTCAATAACTTCCGTCAATTTCTTCTTAAGTTATAGCCCTTGTTTCACTTTGTTGCACCTTGTGAACGCTCAAACGACAAAAGTTATCAACCGATCTGTATGAAATTTATATGCATCATTTAAATTTGTAAACCAAGAATCCTGTTAAATTTCAGCAATTTCCGTTAATTACATCCAGAGTTATGGCCCTTGTTTCACTTTGTTGAATCTTGTGAACGCTCTAATGACAACAGTTATCATCCGATCTGTTTGAAATTTATATGCATCATTTAAATTAGTAAAATGAAGAAGCCTATTGAATTTCAGCAATTTCCCTTAATTATGCTGTGAGTTATGGCCCTTGTTCACTTTGTTGTACCTTGTGAATGCTCTAACGACAAAAGTTATCAACCGATCTGTATGAAATTTATATGTATCATTTAAATTAGTAAAACGAACAAGCCTATTGAGTTTCAGCAAATTTCAGTTAATTACATCTAGAGTTATGGCCCTTGTTTCACTTTGTTGAATCTTGTGAACGAACAACAAAAGTTATCACCCAATCTGTATGAAATTCATATGCATCATTTCAATTAGTGAAATGAAGAAGCCTATTGAATTTCAGCAATTTCCGTCTATTACTTCTAGAGTTATGGCCCTTGTTTTACTTTGTTGAATCTTGTGAATGTTCGAACGACAAAGTTTTATCATCCGATCTGTATGAAATTTATATGTATTATTTGAATTAAAACGAAAAAGCCTCTCGAATTTCTGTAGATTACTTCCAGTGTTATAGCCCTTGTTTTAGTTTTTAGAACCTTGTGAACCCTCAAACGACGAAAATTATAATGTCATCTGTTCGAAATTGTCTATTAAATGCCCCTAATTACCTACAAAAGAATAACTATGTGACAACCCTTGTCGACCGCTCGGACGATTTAGCTGCTGCGGGCGTATGTTTTGTTGCCTGGCAACCTATCTTTGAAAACTGGAATAAGGGTTTCACTGCCTGGAAGATAAGGGTATGTCAGAATATAATGGTTATTTCCCAGTGCAAAAATTAAAGTAAATTTTTATAGACAGAGTTTACTGAAAATAGACAATTTCTATAGACAATTTCTGTAGAAAGTTTATACTAAATAAGTGAATATATAAATTTCTATAGATAGTTTCTAATGAATATAGACAATTTCTATAGACAGTTTCTAATGAATTTAGACAATTTCGCAAATGTTTATGTAATGTGATAAAATCCAATGTAATTTTGTATGATATTATTCAAAATTAATTACATTATTTTCTAGGGAATAATTATAATTCCTCTTTAATTAATATACGAAATTCTCAAATTGCTTTTTTCTTCACGACAGGTAGCGTTTGGCATCCGAGGCCTAACGAGAAAAGAGATTAAAAAACTTCAGGTGAAAAATGAGATGTATGTAAACAGTAAATCACATATAGCCAATCACGAAATTAGTCGAGTTGGTTCAAACCACTCTGTACATGGTGTTCCTTTATCAAGGTCATTTAGTGGGCCAATCATATTACAACATGTTGGAACCAGTATTCTTAATGTTGAAATGGTAAGTAGATCGCCACAGTTTTTATTTTAGAAGTTTGTTATGTGTATACTTGTGATACAACTTCCTGTAAGTTTGATGTGTGTCTCATTGTGATATTTGCACATCCATTATTAACATGAAATATGAATGAAAAAGGAATTTACATATCATCATTTCTAGCTCTGCTGATAAATTTAATTTTTGACCATCCAAAAAGGGGACATATTTCCACAGGCTTTTTAGTGTGCTTACTTTAAAGACGCAACATTCATGGATAGAAACTATGGCAGTATATTAGATTTAAAATTCTAACGTGCAATCGTCTAATTTCTAACTTCTCATTTTTTTTTGTTTTTGAAGACAAGTGAAGGATTTGGAGAACTTCAAATGATTTTTTTTATAGTTAAGCCAATATTAATATTTATATACTGTTGATCTGCATTCTATTACTGCTTTAACAAAAATGTCACTTTATATAGGTGGAAAAGGTGATTTTGAGATTATGATTATACATTTGATTTTATTAGTTTTTCAAGTAGATCTCATCATTCTTCTCCCAAAACTTTTTACAGATTCAAAATCGGATGAATTTTTTTTTTTTTTATGGAAGCTCAAAGTTGCGATTTTTGACTTTTCGCGGAAGAAAGGTTTTTCAACGCCTTGAAAAAGTCATTTTTGGTGTTTTTTGCGATGTCATATTTCATTTCATAGCAAACCTATCAAATATGTAGATGTAAATTCATGAAATACAACTTTAAGGCTAATTATGTTTCGATTTTCACATTTTTGTAACAATTACCCTGATTTCCCAAGCAACTCCAAAATTAGATTTTGTCAAAGTGATTTTGGTCAATTTTTTCATCAAAAATTGTCTTGTCCATGTTATATCTGAAATATTGAACCTGGTTGTTATGCATTTTAAAATTAGTAGCTATCAAGTAAGATTAACAGGAGAAAAAATATTCATATGCCTTCTCTCAAGGGCAGGATATATGTTCATTTTTGAACAATTTTCCGTGGGAGCAAATTTCCTATTTTTGGGGCGTTTTTAGGACCTTAATAAAATAAGAAGGAATGGAGATACATAAGTGAAATTATGTGAACATGTCAAAAAGTTTGTGAATTTTACTTCTAATTCGTCATATATTATCAATTTTGGTTGTCATAGCAACCAAAATGGAAAAAAATGCAATTTTCAACGTTATTTACCATAACCCAAAAGGTGATCTCCACATTTTGAAGTAAGCAATTTAAATGTTTGAAACCCATGCAATATCAAATTATACGGATTGTGTAAGTTTGAGAAAAATATGAAGGAGTTTGAGTTGTTACCATAGCAACTACAGTTATTTTTTTTCCAAAAAGCATTATTTTCCAATATTTATGACATCAATATTGATAATTGTGTTATCTTAAAATCAGAAGCTATCAGGCAAGGTTTTAAAAAATAAATAAAATCAAAATATTTTTATGTCTTCGGCATTGGCCGAGAAAGTTCATCCAGATTTTCCGGCGTGGTTCCCCCTTGTCAGTGATGCAGGACGGAGGGCCTGACAAGGACAGCTGTCTAGTCCTTTGGATGAGACGAAAAACCGAGGTCCCGTGTATACATTGGAATGCACGTAAAAGATCCCTTGGCAGTTGGAATTCGATATAAGAGTAGGCGATAGTGCCGCTGCCCGGGCAAAATTTCCCTCATAGCCCACTGTATGGCGTATGCCCGTCTTCATTAGCCCAGTTTAGGAGCAGAACAGTAGGACGTTAAACCCCATTTCATTTCATTTCATTTATATGTCTTCTTTCAACAGCAGGAAAGGGGTTCATTTTTTAAAAACATTCCTCAGTAGCAAATTGCCCATTTTGGCCGTTATTACGACATAAATAAAATATGAAGTATATTGAAGTGAAGTTTTGTTTACAAGTAAATGTGATTGTGAATTTTTAAAATCACATGTCTTTACTCTTGTATATTACTTAATATTTGGATGTTATAGTACCGGTAACCAAAACGAAAAACAAACCAACAAAAATGCAATGTTTTTACCATTTTCAATGGTGTTTACCATACTGAATTGCAAATGATCCCCACATTTTAAGTACGATACCAGTAAGCATTTTAGCATATACTTATAACACATGTAATATAAAATATTATGAATTGTGTAATTTTAGGGAAATATTAAGGACTTTGGGTGGTTGCTATAGCAACTACATAATTTTAAAAATAACATAACTGTTGTTTCACTGTCATTATTGTTCTCAGCATTCATTACTTTCATGAAGGCCTACATGTTACAAGAAGAATTCTACTTTGACATATTATTTTCTACTCAGTAGATAACAAAATTGACCAATAAAAAGTTATTTTTGTGGTGCATAATTCTCAAAAAGTACTAAGTAGGCTATCGATAGGCTACGGTAGTGTTAAGGCCTATGTAACTGAAAACTACAACATTATGTGGTCAAAGATAATGCAACAATTTGACCGAAAGAATTGTTTTGTTTTTACTTCACTTTTGAATTTTCATTATTCATTCAAATCCGGATGACTCTTCTTCCTTTTTATTTTGTACATTTTCATCAATGTGAATATCAAATCAACAAGGCCTTAATAAGGCCTTACGTTTGTCGGTAATTTCAATTTGTTTAACTGGCCAATAAATATAGAGCCCCTATAATTAGGTGTTAAATATATTTACCAAAAAAATCAAAGAATTAAAATTATAATAATCAGTATGACAACTATAATGCTAAATTATTTAATAAAATGTTTTGCGACAATTGGTTGGTATACGTATCGACATGACTGACCTAATTCTATGACGGTTCCATCATCTCAACCTCTTCAAACGAAAAATCTAGAATCTGAGCCATTTTGTAAATTATTCTTAGCTAGCGTTAATTCTTTTTTTGTTCCAGCTTTATTTGGATATAATTCCCTTTTAAGTGGATAGAAATCGTATGTATTATCCGTAGAAAGTTGTCTTCCCTCACAGCTGCGGAATGTAATAATGGCTCTCCGACACCCGTGTTGATATTTTCTGGTTTCAATTCCATTCGTGCGCAGAGTAAATGCTTTAAATCAGGCATGAATAATTCACGGAACTCAGCGAATTTTTTATTTCAGAACATTGAAATACTCGTCAATGCTACGGAATATTTCAATTGTTGTTGAAAAACATTTGGTGTTAAATGTAAAGACGTGTTGTAGCTGGGAGAAAATTTCCTTTTAGTGTAGAAGCGCGAGAATATGAGTAACGTGATGTCAACACAGTCGCCCTTGCAAAAGGCGAGAAAATAAATCGAATTATCTATTTTTGGGCAACTCTTTTATTCATATAACATAATGCTTACTTCATAAATGAACATTCAGTTGCATTTCGACGTAATTTACCGCGAATATGGGTCTTGGGGACTTGAAATACAGTTTTTCTTTGTCGTGTCTTATGACGTCATAACACGAAACACTACGAGGTTTATTCGTTCACAAAAAGTCACGTTGTATACCATTTAGTAGCATCGGAACGGCAATAAAACGAACTTTCGATCGGTCGGTTATGGAATCTTGACAAATTGCCTCAAAACTCAACATTTCTAAGCGAAATAAAAATGTGAAGCAAATTGACATTCTACCCAAATACCGTATACCATGGAAAAACGACTTTGGTTGATGCAGCACAAAATGCACAGTGTATACTTTCTTTTGGACATTAGTATATATATTTCTATGATATAAGTATACTGATATCTTCCGGTGTGGTTCTCCCTCCCTTTTTATTGATACAGGGCGGGGGGTCTGACATGGATAGTGCCTAGTCGTTTGGATGGTATAAAGAGACATTTTTTAAAGCAGTAAGAGAATATAGACTAACAGTATACAAATATTAATTGGCTTAACTGTAAAAAAAAAATCAAATAAAATTCTCCAAATCCTGCACTTGTCTTAAAAAAATAAATGAACAAATGCTGTTTAGCTTATATTTGAAATAGTATTTGCAAACCAGATCACGTTCGATGTTGTTTTCAATTCTAATACTCCACCAAACCATTCAAATTGCCAAATTGAGCACACAGTGGTGACACCAAACGATGTCATAATGATGGTTGCTAGGTAGAAGTATCAAAATTCTAAATTTGATCGACGTTCATGATTAACATGTAAAGTGACAATGAAGTAGACATTTTTCGACTTAATAATAGAAATAAAGATGAAACAGAATTAAAATTTACACTAAACAAATGAAGAAGTTGGATTATACATTGTCTTAATTTAGAAATAACATGAATAGAAGTTAGAAATTACATGAATAGAAGGTAGAAATTAGATGACAGCATGTTAGAATTTTTGATCTAATAATATATACCGCCAAGAAACAAGCTAATATTGCGTAGCTGAAGACAGAATACTGTGGTGTCATCATGAAATCAATAGAAAGTAATGAAAACATTACATGGCCATGACTAAAATCAGGATTGGTCAGTTTCAATAATTTTTGGACTAATATGCTTTTGATAGAACTTTTTTACAATCTAGTTGGACTGAAAGTCTGATATTTGATTTCAAGTTTGGACGATTGTGCCTTCTAGAGTTGTGACAAATAGACATTTTTAATGCATGTTACCTTACGATATTGAAATCTACAAACTGTTTATAAACATAGTTCTTTCCTGGAGTAAAATTATAAAGGTCGTCCCCTACATATATATGTAATATATCAGTGCCTATGATTATTTTATTAAAAATATCATATTGAGCTGACTGACACAATAGTGTGAAACAATTAATATTTTAATCTGTGTATTGACATAGAAAATTTGAATCTAAAGCCCTTTGGAATTTTTAAAATTTATGTTTAGTGAGATTTAATCGTAACATGCCAATGTTATTATTTCATCAAAGAATTAATAAAACAAATATTTATACCCTTAAAATATTTTAAAATAGCCCCAAAGCTCAAGATCAAGGTCACGGTCTTTAGGAATGTATGTCTTTCCAAATAAGGAAAGTCATATTTTGAATCAGGAGGACGTAAGTATATTTGGTCATGTGAATCTGTTGTAACGGCATGACTTTGGTTTAACATGTTTTTGTTACAGTTTGTTTGTTATATAGGTGAAGTGGTGTTACTATTATGTATTAGACGTTAAATTTGTAATAAACAAACAACTATTTTACTACTGTTGTGAATTTTTTTGACATTTAGGTTTTTGTCTTATACCTTGCACAGAAAGCAGGAGACTATTAAAATGGGTTCCACTATTTAGAGCACTTCTAATGAATGATGAAATACACTTTGGTGTCTAGTTTTATTAAATCAGTACCTTGACTAAGTTTGATAATGAACATTTTCTGCTCCGATTTATGGAGCCGAATTGTTGCCATATTAAGAGAAAATGTCATGGTTATAATTGCAAAATTATCATAGACAAAATGGTAAAAATGGCCATTTTCGAGATTTTTCACATGTAAATATCACATAACATTTAATACATTTAAATGGATATTTACCATAAAACAAAATTGCTCGACAAAAATTAACAATGTAAAATAGTTATGTTTTTTCCCTCTCTTTTCACCTGAGCAAATTCACTGTAAATTCTTCATCTTTGCATTTTAAACTATCAGATTTTCTCCATTGCATTTTCGACTATCACAATTTCTCCAATCTACTAACTGACCATATAAGGAAAGGGGAGTGTTTCCGAGTTCGGCCGAAGTTGACGTCATAACTCATCTGTTTTTACCGTCTGGACTAAAATTAATGCTCCCTCATACACGACGTCATAAATCTACGTTGATATAAGCGGCTGCTGCATTTGGAGTTCTTCGGTTAGCTGAGAGAATAGTAAGAGCAGGAGGACCGCATCACACATAAACAACTACACAATACAAACCCGTGGACACGACACACAATATAGGCTACACATATATTTCAAACAATAAGCATATCAAATCAAGTGAATGGATCAGGAGGTCAGCCGTAAGCGTCCACAGCGCTGTAGGCCTACAGGATTTTGACTTATAAAAACACCTGGTGATTAATTAATTATATAAAACAATATTTAACGTAATATGTTTTGTAGGTAATTGTTTAATTGTAGGAACCATAGTACGCCAACATCAAAAGATGACGTCACATCTATATTTTTATTGAAGACTACATAAAACTTATTAGGCCTACATACTGGCTACCGGATACTTGTTTAAAAAAATTCCGCTTTGCAAAAGTTTAAAATGCTAATGGTTAAAATTCAATAACTATTACTAACATGATACCATCCGACCATCAATAATATAGGTTTTGTTTTTTTTAACTCTTGAGTCTTGTCGGAGAAGTATATATAGGCCTTATTAGGCCCACCTTGTATTTTAATTAATACAACTTTTGTTTCTAGTTGTATTTTAATTTTTATTTTTTTTAATTTTCTACAAATTACAGATCTTTATCAACTAAATATTGTAACTGTTCTTGTGGAATAAATAACTTTGGCGGAAAGATGATACTCTCTACCATGCCCTAATTGTCTTGTTTGCAATTTATTACACCGTCTAATAACTGTAAAGCTTTTCTTAATTGATTAAGGCAGCCAGGCACTGCTTTTGTAGTTTCACTTATTTCAGATGTAAGTTACAGCTCCATAAATTTGCACACATCCATGCCGATGTGCTGTCAAAGATTCATCCGGTCTATGAAGACAATGAGTCAACCTCATATCAAGGTTCGATGATATAACTCATTAAACAAAAAGTTGTTCGACATGACAACGAATTAATTCATTAAATAATAAATAAAATCGGACAATTCTTAAGAGTTATGAATAACCCAATGGAGTAGTAATTTTAGCCGAGACGATAAATACTGACGTCTTAAGACGTCATCTTCGGCTGTACCCGGAACCACGCCCTCTGTCCGTTTGATTGGAGAAATTTTTGTGGTAGAAATTACAATGGAGAAATTCTGATAGTTGAAAATGCAAAGATGAAAAAGTTTGAGTGAATTTGCAAAGGCGAAAAGAAGAAAGTGAAAAAACATAACTAGATTTTTTGGGTTTGTTTTGATACTAATATAGTGATTTTGTGTTATGTGATATTTACAAGTGAAAAATCTCAAATGACCATTTTGACTATTATAATTTGTCAATTTTAACTATTATATTTTCTCTTAATATGGTAAGGATTCGGCTCCATACGGTTATGCAGATTGATAAGCATTTTGATTGCTAGATGCTCTATCTAAAGGTAAATGTAATTAATAAAATCTATGTATTTTGGAAGTTAGAGGGTGGGGGGGAGGCAACAGCATCCACTATTGACTTGTTTACTTTGTTTTATTTATGCCAAATAAGAGTCTTTCGTTGTAATTTGTTTTATTTATGCCAAATAAGAGTCTTTCGTTGTAATTGGTTAGTGCTATTTCCACATTTGATCACAACTGCACTGTCACAACTCATTTATAGTTGATTTAATTTTTTTTTTTTTTTTTATCCTAATAGATTCATCTGGATTGCATATTTATCATTTTCACATATGTCCATTATTTTTATGCACATTTATTTGATGTTTTTATTATTTAAGGATTTATTAATGTAACACTTTAAATTGGGTTTTTGATGTTTTACAATTAGATTGGGAAAAAAAAATGTTATTCCTGAGTGAATTTTTGTATTTGTTAATCATAAATGTCTTACAATTAGATTGGGGAAAAAAAATGTTATTCCTGAGTGAATTTTTGTATTTGTTAATCATAAAAGAAGTTTATTTTGTATTATTTGTTCTTGTTTGTGATTGAACTACCATGTTACCTATATATATGTAAGTATTAGTAGTTATAGGGTACATATGATTCCAATAATTTAACTGGAAAAATATGAATAAGACAAAAGAAAAGAGAAGAGAAAAAACTTCACCTAAAACACTAAATTATGCGTAGATGGATATAAACACACACTATTTAAAAATGTCTTAACTTTATATAGTTAGAATTTGCTACTCAGAATATCATTGGACATAAGCTGATGTTTTAAATTCTTTTACAGATTCATTTGATATGGGGTTGGTTACCACCAAGACTAGCTGTCTGTCAGCCATTTTTATTGTACACATCTGAAGAACACGGAACAAGTCTACGAACATTGTATAGTAAGATAGAAGATAAAACACAGACTATAATTATCATTAAAACGACCAGAGGAGAGGTTAGTATTCACAAATTAAAAGTAGCTGATTTAAATTAGATTAATCTTGATTCAGTTGGAGACTAACTAATATAAAATCAATTAATTATCAATGGATCTTATTTTATCAACCACAGCCTTGGCTTAGTCTCACAAATATTATTATATATAAGCCTACAACTGAATGCCAAACAATAAATTTATTATCAGTATCAGTGGATTTTGGTTCAATGAATACATTGGCATTCCATGTCCTCAGACACCGACCAAGATCACTCCAAAACAATGTCTCAAAGTGAGTGTTATATTCCCGTTGATAATCAAGCGGTTGTTGATTACAAATGAACTAATGATAATGATACTTAAAAAGAAAGATTTTTTGTCAAAATAACTTTTTAAAAGAATAATGATTTACCAGTTTATAAAAAAACCCTTCCTGTGCCAATGAATAGTGGTTGGACAACCCTATCACAGATATATTAATATGTACAACTTGAAATCACATAATATAGACAAGTTAATTTTTAAAGATGATGTATAGGACTATGAAGGTGAATCATCAAGACTAGTAACTCTTGGAAGGATTATGGTTTTTATACGCCAACATTTTCATGTGGACGTATATTGTTGTAGCCCCTGTCCCTTTGTCGGTTCGTTGGTCCACAATTTGTTTGTGGACACTCTACAGGTCACAATTTTTATTCAATTTTGACGAAACTTAAAATATAGGATTTTTATTCAATTTTGACGAAACTTATTGGCATAAATCGGACCTTAACTTCATGGATTATGGCCCCTGATTGTACGAACGATCACGTTTTTAGCTTGTGGTCCTTCTATAGGTAACAATTTTTATCCGATTTAAAAAAAAAACATTTGAATATATCACCCTAATGATGGCCGAGTTCGAATTTTCTGAAAATCGGACCAAAACTGCCGGACAAAATGGCCACCCCTTGTACACAAATTGTGTAATTATATGGTATATCAAGGTTGTGGAGCCTATGGAGGCCTCAATTTTGATCTGTTTTTGATGAAACTTAAAATACATGTTTATAACCCAAGGATCTTGGTTCCTTTCGATATTTGCTCATAACTTCCTGAATTATGGCCCTTGATTGTACGAAAAATCACATTTTTAGCATGTGGCCCCTCTAGAGGTCACAATTTTTATCCGATTTAAAAAATGTTTGAATATATCACCGTTTTACCCTAATGATGGTTGAGTTCCAATTTTGTGAAAATCGGATCAAAACTGCTGTACAAAATGGCTGCTCCTCGTATGCAAATAGTGTACATATATGGTATATCACGGTTGTGGACCCTCTAGGAGTCACAATTTTGATCCGATTTTGATGAAAATTGAAATATATCTTTATAACCCAAAGATCTCGGTCTCTGTCGATATTCTCGCATATCTGGTTACAACTTCCTGAATTATGGCCCTTGATTATACGAAAAATCTCTTTTTGTTTAGCTTGGTAACTTTTAAATGTCATGGAAAGTTTCAGCATCTTGTCTATTATTCTATTATTATGTGAAGTGTGTAATCATCAGTATGTGTTTCTTTTTTTCCACCAACCTCGTGGGTTTTCTCTGGGTCCTCTGGTCTCCTCCCACTGCTAAAGACCCCTACGCGCAAACGAATTATTGAAATAAAATTAAACCATATGTTAGTCCCGAAATGACCTAGTTTGTGTCGAGTGGACGTTAAACCCCCTTTCTCACTCTCACTCTTCTTTTTTCCAGATATTTGGAGCATTTTGTTCAGCACCGTGGGAAGAAAGAAAGTCAAGCAACAAGAATTTATCTTATTTTGGAACCGGAGAAACATTCCTTTTCTCATTGCAACCTTGTAAAAGGAAATATGATTGGGTTGGCATCATACAAGAAGGAATCCCCAAAACTGCAAATATGTTCCTGGCAGGAGATAACTCTGTTATGACTATTGGAGGAGGGTAAGTTGTATAGTTTGTTCCTATTTGGGTTTTTTTTTTTTATGAAAACTGCTAATTTAATCACTCACTACCACTTATTATTCAATATATCACAATATCAGTACTTGAATAACAATAGCAAAGACTTATGACTTGTTTTTTCTAAACAGAACATTTGAATATTTTTGTTTAAGACACACTGCAACCAACTTTCTTTGAATTTTTAAATGTATAGATTGCATTATATTTCAAAATTGCTTGATCAAAATATTTAAAAGAGATAACAGTATAGATTAAAATCAAGTCAACTGTATATACCTTCTAGTTTTACTTTTAGGACTTAGTTAAATCTCCTATTTTGAAAAATGATCTCCCTATCTCCTGACAATGGTCTCTTGAAGATGCAACTCTAGGGGTTAACAGGTTTGCCATATTTGAAAACAATGTTGGAAAATGACATTTTTATATGGCCGTCGCCCCTGTCCGTCCACAATTGTTTGTGGACACTCTACAGGTCACAATTTTTATCCGATTTTAACGAAACTTAAAATATTGGTTTATCTCCCTAAGATCTCGGACTACAAGTTCATGTATTATGGCCCCTGATTGTACGATAAATCGCGTTTTTAGCTTGTGGACCTTATAGTTATAGAGGTCACAATTTTTATACGCCCACATGGAAATGTGGTCGTATATTGCCGTTGCTCCCGTCCATCCACAATTTCTTGTGAACACTCTAATGACTACATTTATCATCTGAATGTTTTGAAATTGATATTTTGTTTGCATTAGTAAGATGAAGAAGCCTATTTAATTTCAATAACTTCTGTTAATAACTTCCATGATATGGCGATTATTGTTTCAAACTAAAGTATTGTTTAAATGTGGGTGAATTTATTTTAACATTTTTTTTAAAAAGCTACATTGAGATTGAGACTTTGAAGTAAATATAAAGTGACCGATGTAGGCTATTGTATTATTATATATACGAAGGATTAAGACACAGAAAACATCGAGTCGACTCCTACGCACGTACGAAAAATAGACGAAGAGAACGATACCGGTACTCGATAGTGCTTTTTGGCAAATCTTATCAATACTATCGATATTTTACCCAGGTCTACCGATGATATAGTAATACTTTCAACTCTCAATATGGCTACATTCCGATTTTTTAAATATTTTTTAGAATAAAAAATCGTACTAAAAAACGGTACGATAAGAATTTTCTCCCTTAAAAAAGGATGCATTATTTTTGTGAAAGTAATAAAAATATTGAACGTGATTACTTACAAAAGAATAAATATGCGACAACCCTTGTTGACCGCTCGGACGATTTAGCTGCTGTGGGCGTATGTTTTGTTGCCTGGCAACCTATCTTTATCTGATTTTGTGGCCTGACAAGGACAGCTGTCTAGTCCTTCGGATGAGACAAAAAAACGTGGTCCCGTGTATACATTGGAATGCACGTAAAAGATCCCTTGGCAGTTGGAATTCGATATAAGAGTAGGCGATAGTGCCGCTGCCCGGGCAAAATTTCCCTCATAGAACACTGTATGGCATATGCCCGTCTTCATTAGCCCAGTATAGGAGCAGAACAGTAGGAAGTTAAACCCCATTTCATTTCATTTCATTTATGTGATTTTGTTAAAATTTGAAATGTAAGTTTATAACCCAAAGATCTTGGTTCCTTTTGATATTCGCACATATCGGACCGTAACTTCATGAATTATGGCCCCTGATTGTACGAAAAATCGCATTTTTAGCTCTTGGACCCTATAGAGGTCATAATTTTTATCTGATTTAAAAAAAAACGTATTATTATACCACCGTTAAACCCTGAGGATGGCTGAGTTCGAATTTTGTGAAAATCGGCCAAAACTGACAGACAAAATGGCCGCCCTTTGTTCTCAAATAGCGTAAAAATATGGTATATCAAGGGTCCACAACCTTGATATACCATATTTTGACACGAGGGGCGGCCATTTTGACCGTCACGATTTTTACGAAATTTGAACTCAACCATCCTTAGGATGTAACGGTGATATATTGTAACTTTTTTTTAAATCAGATAAAAATTGTGACCTCTACTGTGTCCACAAGCTAAAAACACGATTTTTCGTACAATCAGGGGCCATAATTCAGGAAGTTATGGTCCGATATGCTTCGAATATTGAAAGGAACCGAGATCTGTGCGTTATAAACATACATTTCCAGTTTAAACCAAATCGGATGAAAATTGTGACCTCTACAGTGTTCACAAGCTAAAAACATGATTTTTTGTACAATCAGGGACCATAATCCATGAAGTTACAGTCCGATACATGCCAATATCGAAAGGAACCAAGATCTTAGTGTGATAAACCTATATTTCAAGTTTCATTGAAATTGAATAAAAATTGTGACCCATAGACTGTTCACAAACAATTGTGGACGGACAGGGGCGACTTGGGCGTATAAAAATACAGAACTTATTTCTTTAGGACCAATTTTACCATCAATGTTCTTACTGATACAAGATTTTCTGCCTTTAATCTTTTTAATTTCAGTCCAAAAGTCTCTATTTTTGTTATTATTAGCACTTATTGTGTCTTTATTTGTCATGGTGGATCTTAGGGCAAAGTAGAGCATAGTGGTACTTTGCCCTTGTTCGGTTTCTGATACTTGCTAGCTCCCCATCACATGGTTAACCATTATCTTTCCATATGGTATGCTATAAGATAGCAGTTTCCCTAGACGACCTAACATGGTCATTCCAACCAGGAATTGCTTGGGGGGGGGGGGGCTTTAGCGTATCTATGTGGTATAGTGGACTCAGCACTATCGATACTGAGAAAAAGTAATTTATCAAAATAAATTTCAATGTCATCATGATCTGTACAGTAATAATTATTACAATACAAAGCTTTGCATGGTACATTGATTTGTCTTTAATTTTTGTCTTAATTTTGCTTTGTAATCAGATATATTCTTATCAGAGGCTTCTGACCATTTTAAGATATTTTGTTTGACAGATGGTACAGGTGGTTGGTAATAATTTACAGATATACTTAATTGAAAAACAATGGGGATATGATCTGAAAGATTGTCACCCTGATTTCGAGATTTGTGTTCAGTTATGTTGCAAAACAGATTGTCAGTCATCAGGAAATGATCAATCAACGATCTTTCGCCATTGATCTTGCTTTCATATGAAGAATCACACTCATTGTGTTTAAAATCTATACCGTATTTGAGATTATTCAGATCTACAAAACGCTTAATATGCTGCAGATTGACAGAGTTTACTCTATATGTAGGTCAATGTTTAGGTCATCACCAACTAAAATAAAATCAACTTTTTCTGCACAGAATAGGTAGTTAAGGTCAGTTAGAGTGTCTTGATATGCATAGCCACAAGTACCATCACATGGCATGTAGACACTACAGAGCAAGACACACAGATTGTCCCATTTTAAGGAAACCGCACATACACGTTTCGAAGATAATTGCACTGGAAATACTTCGCAGATGAGGGAAGTTTTACGTAAAATGGTGCATCCACTGTACGGCCTTCCAGAGACACTCGTCCGGCATTCCAGACACCCCTTGGGCATTAACATTTAATTTCGATTTTGACACAGGGAATTAATATATTCTAGACGACCTACCCCATGACTATTGGAGTTGTAGGTTGCACAGGAAAACTTAGGCATACTTTAATGATCAGCTGAGCGAACCTCTTCCTTAGGAGGGACAAATTTTTGGACACACACACCACTAGGCCAGACTTTGTTGTCAAACAGACCTTGGAATTCATAGACAGGAACGCTGAGTTTAAAAGAGTTAAATCTGGAATTCAGGTTGGAGATGCAGTTCACATCTATTACATTAAACTTTTGGTTTTTTTAACATGCTCTGAAATTGACTCGGGTCGTATCTCTATCAACATTGTATATAAAGAGATCTTTATGGAATTATGGGGCACTTTTGAAACTCGCACCTGTTGTATTCGAACTGCCGGTAATAATTTTACGTCTGGTTCCTTGATCGTGTCAGGGACATCCTTTCTAACATGAAAACTTTAAGTTCAGTACGTCCTCTATCTACAGAGGAGTCGCGACTAAACTTGTACGATTTCTCTGCTGAAGTAATTTCAGAACCTCTAATAACATCATGTTTTCTATTATTAGTCGACCTTCTATTTGTTACACCAAATCTCTGATCTGAGCACTGTTTAAATAGAAACATATCACCTTGTGAAAATGTTACATCTGTACCTCTACGGTTGAGTGGACATGGCCCATTTGGTAGCCCTTCACACTTCATTGAGCCTTATCAGATTGATGAAAAATATTTTGGTCTATCCAATTATCACAAAAACTTACACAAAAAACAGTTCTGATAATATGAGGTCCATTTTTAATCCATTTTTTGTCCAAGGAATCACAAGAAATTACCAAAAAAAGGTTCAAGAGAACATCTCCTGAACTACACTGCCGCCATCTTGAGCGGTTTTAACTTGTAGGCATTTATGCAACAGCGGAATTTAATAAGACCAATCATTTGGGTCAAAGTGGTTATGATATAGCCCAAAATGTCTGATTCTGAGAGTGTGTCAACTGTCAAATCAGACATAAATACGTTTATAACCCAAAGATCTTGGTTCCTTTCGATATTTGCGCAAAATCGGATCGTGACTTCCTGAATTATGGCTCTTGACTGTTCGAAAAATCGCGTTTTTAACTTGTGATCCCTCTAGAGGTCACAATTAGTATGGTTGAGTTCGAATTTCGTGAAAATCGGACCAAAACTGACGGACGAAATGGCCGCTCTTCGTATAACACAAATGGTGTATATATGTGGTATATCAAGGTTGTAGATCCACTAGAGGCCACAATTTTTTTCCGATTTTGATGCAACCTTAAATTTATGCTTATATCACAAAGACCTTGGTTCCTTTCGATATTTGCGGATATCAGATCTTAACTTCTACGAAAAATCTTGTTTTTAGCTTGTAGTCCCTCAACTAACAACTTCTTTAATATTGGTAATATTTTCATGAAATTTGGAATGTATATAGATCACATTGACCCAACTTCATTGATACCATTAGATATGTCCTAACTTATCTCCCCATAGAAAATTAAGGATCAAATTTTAAAAAAAAAAATTGAATAAATATAGGTCAGGATTGCCTTGAAATTTTTTTTCTGTACTTGATGAGGAATTCCTGATGCGTACACAAAATATGAAGTCTATCGATACAACTGGAAGTGCCACCATCTTGAAACGTGAAAAGTCCCTAAGGCTTTTGCGATATTATACTTACAGACATGGGAGTTACATTTTCTGAATCCTTGAAGGAATGCCTAAAAAACATCAGAACAGAATTTTGATTTCGGTCAACTGATGGTCTCCATTTGGAATTGAATTTGAAGAACAGTGAAAAATCCACTTGAAGGGACGTGAAAATAAACACAATAGGCCGTAATATGTTCAATGCGTCTCTTATTTCTGAAATTAATACATTTCAGGATAGCCCGGGATCAAGGTCGAATTTTTGGTGTTTGAAAATTTCAAAATTTCGAATTTTGCCTTTGACCTTTTATGTGCCGACAAAGTTGTTTACAGGACAATTTATGTCTCTAATTTTCAAAATTTACAAATTTAACCTAAATATTCGAACAGCTGAGGTCAATCTGATTCAAAAAATATTAGTTCCTTTCAAAGTTATCTCATTTATTTTTTCGATATTTTCCTTCCTTTTTTAGTTCTTTCCCGCCATTTTTATTTCATTTTCTCATCCGTCCCGTTTTTAAACGGCTTGATCCATTTTTCTGAAACTTCTGGAACGGTAAGTCATTTCGATTACAGCAATCCAAGTCTCAGTTATTTCCCCTTAATTTTCAGATTATTTTTTTGCCCGGGTGCAATGTTTCTCACTTTTTTTAGACATGTAACTTTGCGAGTTTTTCACCGATTTTGATAATTATTTTTTCTTGTTCTTTTTTCTTTTAAGATACTTGATATAATCCATGTCACGTGACGATGAATATGAGAGCTTTCATATCTGCATGGGACAGTAGCAGATCTAGTTATTATTATTATTACAGCATATTTATAGTGCATCCTTTCATATAGCATGTTCAGGGGCACTTTACAAAATGACAATGTAATCATAAATAAACAAGAAGATTATGGACATGTTAACGATTGTAATTGTATACAGAGTCAGTTAAACGCCTGATTAAATAAATGTGTTTTAAGTTGTTTTTTTTAAAAGAATATAGAGATGTACAACATCTTAAACTAAATGGTAGATTATTCCATAAAACAGGTGCTTAACAACTTTTGTACTAATACACGAAATAGCTAATGTTCCGATGCCTAGATTTGAAATGTCAGTCCCATGAACCCTTTCAATAATACTTTGAAAATGCCAAAGTGCCACACTCCTTATTGGATAACGCCTATCCATCTTACTAAATTAAATGATTTATTCCCCCAATATAAAATACCCTTGACTCCTATATAAATCATCATAACCCCTAAACCATAAATACTTTGCATATGGCGTGTCTAGTATTATAGAACTGGTGGAGTTTCAATTCCCCGGTTGTACGTGACAGGAAGTAGGGTCGCCTGTCCAACCTCGTGGGTTTTCTCCGGGTCCTCCGGTTTCCTCCCACTACTAAAGTAAGGATGTGACGACTAAGCAAAACTTGAACCGGTTAGTCGGCGGCTAAAAATCGAACCGATTCGGTTTAGTCGGTAATGAAAACTAACTGAAAAATATTAGCTCCATAGTCTACAATACACGCTAATATACTGGCCTTTATATACGGAGCTTAAAACTGTAATGGCGACATACATACAGTTCTATGTTTTATGTGTCCAGTACATTAAAAAATTTGGTTTTGTTTGTACTATGTAGTTTGTTCAAATCTCCTGTTTAACCTTTTTAATAAAAGTAATAAATACAACATATAAAAAACTTCAAACAATGACGTATTGATCAATAATATTAGTGATAAACCGACGAGAAAGCGTATCTGGGCATCAGCTCAGTGCGCATGCCTATTGACCTAACCTGGAGGATTGCTTGTTTCTGATTGGGCACTTCAACCATTGACCTTAGCGACCGACCAATCAAATAACATATTCTTAAAATAACTTAATTAGGTATGCAAAAACACACTCGCTTGTAATCGCGAGAATATCCACGACCGATTACGGAATATTTATATAGTATATACTGTCTCATTATTATTGTCGACCATTTATCAATGATATTGCTTATTCGCCCCCATAATTGTCGATCGTTAATACATGTATCTTTTTAAAAAAAACATGTTATAATATTCGGGCGACTGGTTTATATCATGCTGTATTTTTTAGACGACTATCGATTTCCCGAAACTTGAACCGGTTTGTAGGTAAAACCGAACCGACTCCGACTAATCGTCACACCCTTATACTAAAGACCCCTACGCGCAAGCGAATTATTGAAATAAAATTGAACGCTACGTTTGTTCCAAAATGACCTAGTTTGTGTATGTTAAAATTGAACCATGTGTTAGTCCCAAAATGACCTAGTTTGTGTGGAGTGGATATTAAACTCTCTCTCTACCTAGTTTCGTTTACTGGGGTTTTGAGGTTTTAATTTGGGGCGTCATCTAATTGCTTATATTACCTTACAATAAAATAAACGGGTGGGCCGCAGCTATATTTCCCATGCAATAAAAAGAAATTGAATGAGAATTATTTTTGTGAATGATAGTATGGTAAAATTATATGACCCGGGCCATTGGCAATATTATCATTATTCCAAATATATCTATGTGTTGCAATAGATCTAACAACATAGCTCTAATTAATGTTTGTTAATGTCGGGATTTTAATTAAGTTAGGAGAGGGTGACAGCTGTAAGTTAATATTGATTTTAGTTTTGTGAAACACCACTATTTTAAGTTAAGATAAAATTTTAACTTACAATATTATTTTAGTGAAACGCATCTATCTTAAGTTACGATGGAATTTTAGTTTTAAGGCGATTTTAAGAAGATTTAAGTTTTTGTGAAACAGGGCCCAGGTATATCAAGGTTGTGGACCCTCTAGACGTCACCATTTTGATCCGATTTTAATGAAACTTGAAATACATGTTTATAACCGAAAGATCTTATCTTCCTGAATTATGGCCCTTGATGTTACGAAAAATCGCTTTTTGTTTAGCTTGTTCTCTATCCATCTCTTGCAAAATGTGGGCGTATCCTGCCTGGCAGCCGCTGTAAATAAAAAGACTTGTGATTTAGAATGATTATTATAATAAAATTATATGCCATTGCCTTCTGATATAATTAATTTGTCTTTTACAGAAATGGTGAAGCTATTCAACTGGATGAAAATTTAGTACATTGTAGATCAGAAAAATGTGATACATTTCAAAATGAACCTCTGTGTTCATATAAGGACTTTACCTGTCAGGTAGTTGAGGTCTATGGTTTTGAGTAAAGAAAAGAAATGCTCAATGACATTAGTTCTTGTTGCTTGCTGACAGTGTTATGTGTAAATTATTTTGGATACTCGAGCTGATATGATTAAAGAGTACTCTTTCATTGATAATGGGGACAGTCTCTGAAAATCAATGGCCGTTTGTAAGCTCCACAAAAACCATTCATTAATGTTATACTGGTCATTGGGTTGATAGTTTTACAGAAGTGCTTTTGGAAGACCAAGAATTGATAGTCTGTAGAAATTGTATAAACTTTATTGTCAGACCTTATAGAGAATTTAAACATACAGTTTGTTAGAGAATTTAAAATTACAATTTGTAGAAAAGTATAGTAGTCTAGAATGCATCTAAGAAAACCAAAATATGACATAATCAAATCTTATTTGTCTCTGTAAGTTAGTTTTGTACGAATTTTAATAATTGCTATGATTTATAATATATCAAAGTGGTTTAGCTCCATTAATCTAAAATTAATTGTTCAGAAATTTAGGACATTTCATTCATTCATTTAAAATGAAGTTTATGAGTTTAAATGACAAACATGATTAATATGGAATTTATATTTGCTCTGCTTTTAATAGCAACATGAATTACATAAATCTCAGTTTCCATATAAACAAAAGCATATAGTTATGTATGCAGTTGCTAGAAATCTGTAACTTTAATTAGACGTGCATGTTCTAGATAATACTGTGCCAATATTTAGACTTCAAGCCAAATTGCCGGTTGTAACACTAGTATGGCATTATAGTCATAACGTTTATTTTATTCTATAAATTCTAATTTATAACTGTAATTTGTACAATTTTTAAATTCCATTGAATATATTTTAAATATCGTCAATGGACAAGATATAAGGTTTAAACTAATTTACCCCCATGCAATAAAGTTTTGATTTTGAGGTAATTTTTCGCCCATAAATTATAATTAAAGTTCTGTTGATAATATTAATTGAAGTGCTGTGTTATATTATTTATATATTTCATTATTTAGTAATTTACTGAGAAATAGTTGTATGGTGTGCCATAACTACACATTTATTTAAAGACTACTTCCACTACAATCATTGATGTGGCTATCACTGCAACCTTAATACTACTTTCTACGGAATTTAATTTTCCATTCGTTGTCATTACGTAGAATAATGTCAACTGGTCTATAGTGCAGTAATCATAAATACCACATTATGTTCTCGTTGGAGCAGTATTAACTTTCAGTGATCACATGTATATGTAGTTTGGAATTTTTGGGGATAATGACACATTAACTTTTTAGATTATGAGGAAAATGATTGCTTGTGTACAATAATAATTGTTATCATATAAACATGTAGTCATGGTTGATAGGGTGGTGTTAAAATGTTGTGATTTGTGTTGTTATAAACTTACTCAGTAATCATGTTCAAATTGCACTGTACATAATCATATTGTAGATATGTAGACAAATGTAAATATAGAATGTTTCTGTAGATAGATGTAAATAGAGTTTTGTAATAGATATTTGTGAGTAGTGCAAAATATTCTAGTTGTCAAATCAAATTACAATTGTGTGTGTATCGAATAGCTAATGCTGCATATATTGAATTGATCGCAACCCAATCACATTTTATTTAATACAAAATGTGATTTGTTTTGTCGACAATCTTTCCTAATGTATAAACATAAAATGTATAATATATTAAGGATGCATTATGTAAGATTTAGATAAAAAGCTGGCCGTTCTTGCTATAATAGTTTAAAAATAGATAATGAAAATAGGGGTTTCAGGTCATGTGACATTAACATGAAATCTGACAGCCAGCGGCTGAAATATAGCCCACTTCAATCTACGATTCTCAATTACTATTTTATTTATATGTATTACTAGCAATTGTATTGTAATAGTTTAATATCAATCTCAATATCTGCAAAAATTCAGGCTCAAAAATTGTCGAAATGTAAGCAAAATTACCGTTTATGTACAGGAGATGTCACGCGGCCGGGGATTTTCCATTGCTACGACCCACTTCATTGTTGGATCGGCACCTTAGTTTCCAGGGGATTTCAACATAGAGCTGTCCATAGCGCGCGGATTTCAGTTTTAAAACTGGTACTAGCGATAATACCACTTATGTCGTCACTCGGATATGACTGAAAAGCACTTATTTTGGTGCCATTGCATGCATTGACTGCTATAGAGCATTTTGATTACATTATTGACATCGATCTCGGATTTTAAAATTCCATAACTTTAGATCTAATTAGATTATTTTGATGAAATAAAAAAAATTTGGGTAGCATATTATGTATATTTTCACAAAATATTTTCAATACATTTTTTTCTGTCATTTAAAACTTTGACATGAAACCCCTAACGACAAGAGAATATAAAATTTCAGTCAAATTACTTTATTGTGAGCGAAGTTATAACCGTTTAAAGAATAACATAGTCTTGATTATCATTGCTGCTGTTGTTGATCATCCGTTTCTATGCCCGACAAAATGGCCGCTCCTCTTATGCAAATAGTATATGTTATATCACATACTCCTTGCAGTGTTTCGTTTACTTAGACCTAATCCCACTCAAACACTGCCATACTACGTGCAAATTTCTGTCCCAAATTATGACTGGTTAATAGTCCGATCAACAACCAGTACATAACGACGTAACAAAATCAATCGGGATTAACCAGAGCTCTAAATATGTTACAGTAAAGTGTCTGGTGACAAATGCGGCTACATTAATCAGTGGTTAAAAACAAAGGCTGGGTATCACAAAACCATCTTTTATAGCATCTGACGTTTTGTAAGTGTCTATACTGGTAATATGACTGGTGGTTTCAACAGTAGCACATGCTTTACATTTAGGTCTATTACATGGTTTGCATCCTCTATAAAAATCACTGTCAACTACAGGCACTTCAGGTGTTTTCAGTGTATTCACTTGTATCAATTGACCAATAGTCTTACATTTCTTCTGGGATATTACGATGTTTGATTTATCCAACAGTTTAGACGTAGGGGCGCTAGTCTCTAAAATCGAAGTATCTTGCGCTAAAGTATGTAAATTAGGTTGACGACAGTTTTGGTCCAATTTTCACGAAATTCGAACTCAGCCAAAGTTTTTTTAAATCGGATAAAAATTGTGACCTCTAGAGGGCCCACCAGCTAAAAATGCAATTTTTCGTACAATCAAGGACCATAATTCAGGAAGTTACGATCCAATATGCGCAAATATCAAAAGGAAACAAGATATTTGGGTTATACCCCTTGCATTTCAAGTTTCATCTAAATCAGATCAAAATTGTGACCTCTTAGAGTGTCCACAAGCTACAAACTTGATTTTTCGTACAATCAGGGGCCCTAATCCATGAAGTTATGGTCCGATACATGCCAATTCGAAAGGAACTGAGATCTTTGGGAGATAGACCTAGATTTCAAGTTTCGTCAAAATTGAATAAAAATTGTGGACGAATGGACAGGGGCGACAGCATAATACATCCACATGAAAATGTGGGCGTATAAAAATCACATTTGTTTTTAGCTCATTCTCTGTCCATCTCTTGCAAAATGTGGGCTTATCTTGTATGCCAACCGCTTGTTATTAACTGCCGATCGTGTTTAAATCCATTGAAAATCACACCTATTCGATGGGTTAGAGAGTTGATTATAGGCGTGTCATGTAAATAAATGTCTAATTAATAATTTACATAACATTTGAAGCCAAAATAAAGACCTGCCATAGGCAGATTTTGGTATTACATAATGCATCTTTAACAAGTTGATAGTTGTATACAGTGGATATAAGATTTACAGCGTTGAAGAAGGATACTCTCTCCGTTTCGAAAACTGCTGAATTCTATTTAGTCATATCCATATTGTTTCTTTTTATAGAACACGATGTTGTGATATGAGATAATTCATTTCCCCGGTTGTATGTGCCAAGGAGTATTGTCGTCTGTTCAACCTTGTGGGTTTCCTCCCACTGCTAAAAACCCCTGCGTGCAAGCGAATTATTGAACTTCATCTGAAGTGTCACAGAATTTATACTAATTAATTAATGTATTATTAGGTAATAAAAGTCATTTAATCCTTTTAAGATACATTCCCGGGTACAAACTGGGTGATTTAATGATATATTTTGACTAAAAACATATTCAAACTAATTAATTTATCATAATTTTGCTTCAAATCCTTCTCAAAATATTGCAATTGCCAGGGAATGACCTGGCTACAAAAAAATCGATCAAAAGAGTCAGTGACTTAACTCTCTCTCAGAGGAGAATTCATTGCATACACAAGATGATGTCTTTAATTGCCGACTATTTATTACGAATATTGAAGCCTAATTAAATTCTCGGATTATCCACTGCGCACATCTTTTTCCGTGATTTTTATCTCAGAAAGTGTTGTACGTCTAACTCTTCATAAAGTTAATCAACATGTACATCAAGCGCTCAATCTCAGCGTGCAACCTTTGACGTCACACGTGCAGACACTCCTAATCGTTGGGCTGTCGAATAGGGAAACCCTTACATTTTTGTCCTGTATGCGCTCAATGAGTGTTTTTCAAGGAATCCAGTATTTTTCTAGTAAGATTGGATATTTCTACTTTCCATATATACCAAAATTGCCATACTTTTATTTGAAATAACCACCCGATAAATACTTTTCTAGGAACCTATCTTTAAGCACTAGTGATTAGTTTGAGTATATTTAAGTTTATATGAATTCCACATAAGACTACATGTAGTTGTGTCAGTAAAACCAAAAACAAGACTAAATTAACTCAGAACTATTGTTTGGCATAACCTAAGGGTTTTAATAATGCATATGTTTACATTCCACCCCTAATTTACATAACTAATGCTATAGTTCTAATATAATTCATGTTCATTAACATAAAATGACAGAGCAGGAAATCAGACCATGAAATTATTACCACTATGTCGCAACAGTTGCTTTTAGAGGATTAATTATTATAGATAGAATAAATGCAAAGATATTTATGATATGAAATTGTGCATGAAGTAATGTAATGTTTTACAGTTCACTGATATCATATATACTGTAGTTTTAAACAGTAGATTTGTATTTTAGTATAAATCACGTAGATTGCTGACTGTTTACATGAAATAAACTAGTGAAAATACTGTTTTCTTATGGTGTTCCAATGTATGGGTGAGATGCTGGCTCCTTAAAATGGAGGTTCTTGTTTCGAGCTCGGTGTTGGCTGAGAAAGTTCCTCAGGTTTTTCTGCCATGGTATCCCCATCTCAGTGATGCAGGACAGAGTTTGGCAAGGACATTTGTCTAGTCAATTGGATGGATTGAAAAAAAGAACCCTTGACAGTTGCAATTTGAAATAAACAGCAGACTGTAGCCTTGCTGTCTGGGCAAATAGATGTCAATTCCTTCTTTCCTGCTCCATCTGGGCTAATGTAAAGTGTGAGACTGGTGAACACAGTGGATTTTTTCTTGGAGACAGCTACAAGTGGTAAGATTGCCAAGTCATCACTCCAGCTGGGTGGTGTAATGCATATATAGATCATGCCTGTTGTCCGTGCATGTCATGGGTTCATGTCAAGCAGTTCGGGTGGGGTTTTCGTGAAGACACTTTTTTGAACAAATAGACCTGAAATGCCCTTCAGGGTATCAAGTGGACTATATTCTCTGTCAAATCCCTGGGTCATTGAATATGCTTCTTTCTTCCAGGGGGGTGGGGGGGGGGGTGGATAGCTGAAATGGTTAGCACGTGCGCGCTGTATCATAGTCTGTCATTGAATCAACTGGCGTGGTTTCGATTCCCCGGTTGTACGTGGCGCCTGTCCAACCTCGTGGGTTTTCTCCGGGTCCTCCGGTTTCCTCCCACTGCTAAAGACCCTTACGCGCAAGCGAATTATGGAAATAAATTTGAACCATATGTTAGTCTCGAAATGACCTAGTTTGTGTCGAGTGGAGGTCAAACACCATTTGTCTCTCTCTCTCTTTCTTCCAGTATTCAGGCCTATCAAGCTGCAATTGCAGAATTAGGTCATAGTAAATTTACAAGAAAATTATTTTAACATATGAATGACCTTATTAAAAGGGAGGTAAAATAGTCTATGTCCTACAGCTGAATGTAGTGAAATGTTTCAAGTTAGATCAGCTAGCTAGCGGTTCATAATTATTTAGAGCAGCTAAACATCTAATTCATTATTCATCTATGGCAAGGTTTGGGGGCATTATTATACATAATATTCAAAATTAAAAATACAAATTCAAATTCAGTATTGGTCCATTTCAATCAATATTGATGTTATCTTACAATGGGAATATAATATCAACTATTTAAGACTCGAAGAACATTTTTTAAACTCAGTACTCAACGTTGTGCATTCTTATGGTTTCTAGCACCATTTGTAATGAACGAAGAAAATATAATCCAAAAGACAATTTGGAAGTAATTAAAATCAGCTGGTTCAAAAATGACAAAATAATAATAAAAAAAATGTGTAGGTGTAGAATGGACTAAATAGGTTTAATTTGGGCAGTTCACATATTTTACTTAACACAATTGATTAGGTATTACAACAAAAATTAAAAAATTGAATATAAATTGTTTTATATATAGTTGTATTTTATATATAGTCCATGTGACAGACAGATTTTCGTTACCAATTTGATGAATAAATTTAACCATGATTTTTAGTTAGCCTTAGGTCTAAAGTGTCCAAAATTGGTTGATGGACTTCCGGGTCACTTTGCCAAACGTCAGTTTGGTGGCCATCTTTAAAAATTGCCGCCGTTTTTTTATTTGAAATAGTGCGAATTGGGGAAACCTCCACAACTCCTCAACAGTTTTACCCATGGATATGTAATGTGGCTCAAAATGTTCATATTACAATTCTGCATCTGCTGGTATATGATACATGTTGTTTAATCAATACTATTAGTTTCAAAATTAAAGACTAATCTGAAAACAACAGTATTTTTGGGGGATTTTTTTTATGATGTCTTTTCATAAGTTTACTAACAAGTCAAATTATCTATTTGGTCAACTAAAGCGATTTATTAGATATCAGAAACATTGATCATAAAAAATAATATCTAATATAAGTGTCCCAAATCCAAGATGGTTGAAATTCAAAATGACGGCCAAAATTTGCTAAAAAGGCCAATTTGTCAGATAATAATCATTTCACTGTTTGATATGACATGAATTGAAAGGGTTTATTGAAAAGGGTTTTCAGTGTTACTGAACTTAAAATTAACCAAAACAAAGAGTTTTAAAAATCCAAGATGGCGAATCTTCAAAATGGTGGCCAGAATTCCCATAAAATGATCGATTTTCTGTTTGATATAATTTGTAATATGTTTTTCGCGGTCACTGAACTTGAAAAAAACCCTCAAAAATAATGTTGATAACGATGCTAATGATAGTGCTAAAAGTAAAAATGACACATTCTTTAGAAAATAAAAATGGCTTATCCGACTCTCCACAACCACCCTATAAAAAATACAATGGGGTATCTGGAATGGATTATACTGGATCTCATACATCACAAGACATTCCGACAAAAATAGTGAGGCATTTTAATTTCATCTCCTATGCCTTTGCACCATTTATAGCGGAGTGAGAATCATTTATGAAATATCCAGTTGTTAAGAATTTAAGTTCTCCTATTTGTTCAGAAATGGTAAAGTGAAAAGTACCGAAAAATAACGAAAAAACTCTAGAAAATACCGAAAAAACGTTTTTGATACTACATGTAATTACCTAAAAACACTAAATACCGAAAAATCACTAAATACCGAAGAAACAAAAACACTTATTACCAAAAAAACCTTAGGCCACACATAAAAATTGTTAAGTTGGCCAGGCAAGATCACGCATAAAAAAATTGTGGGGAACTCTAGGTCACATATGAAAATAGTTGACACTCTAGGTGGGTAATGGGTCAGGTTTGGCCACGCATTAATGTAGTGGCACACTCTCTGTTGGTCATTGATCACAATATTTCCCGAATAAGACTTGTTGGGCACTGTAGGTGGGTCGTGGGTCAGGCTAGGCCACTTACACAAATTGTGTGGTACTCTATACATTGGTCAACGGCGGGTTAGAGCAAGTTCTCCCATTTATTTGGTGATTTTTCGGTATTTTGGGTTTTTCGGATTTTTTGGTAATTAGTTTCAAAAAAAGTTTTTTCAATATTTATCAATGATTTTGGGGTATTTTATTCAGCATTTTTCGGAAGTTTCCGGTAAATTTCGAATTTTTTAGGTATATAGTAAAGCCGATCCGTTTTTACATCAAAGACTCTTTGCCTGACAACTTTTGTGGTATCTTTTAAAAAGAATCTTTGTTAAGATAATTTGAAATGCAATTTAATGCATTTACGACTAGGCATCACAAAATTTCCTCTTTCGCATTAGACAGTCGTAGGATTTTATAGCATCACCATTGTCGCTACTGAGATCTCCTGTTTCTTCTTGTACTTGAGGCATGACTTTAGGGATACCTAGTCATAAATGTATTTCAAATTATTATTTTTAAACTTAGAACTTGCTGTGAAATACATAAAACACCTTGAACTTTCATAATTGACAAATATGAATCCATGACACCATCTATCTACATTCTAGATGATACTACAAAAGGTTGACAGACATAGTCTTCAAAGTAAACACCATTCACATTATCATTTCTGGGCCAGAAATGAAATGCAATGTGGGTTAACGTCCTACTGTTCTAACTAGGTCAATGAAGGTGGCTATTCACCTGCAACACGATTTCATAGCCAACGCGTGTACTCTTAAATTATGGTATGGACAGGGATGGCAAATGAAATGAATCCAACTGAATAGGGATGGAAGCAGGAAAATGATCAGTTAATTCCAATTATGGCCCAAAACAATTATCCATTGCAACAGTTCGGGGGTATGCAAAACCTCTTGATGCAGCTGCAGACGCTATGGACTCCCCTTTACTGCGATCAATTGGAGGTGTTGGCGGCCATTTGTGACATAATTGGCCAACATCATTTTTAATGATCTTAATGTGTTCTTTGCACCACAAAACCTAGGAATAGACCCCAAGATCATCAAATTTGAGTTGATAGTTACATAGTTATGATCATTAAGACGTTTCGGTGACCAACTTTGACGCCATCTTGAGTCCTACTTTGGTAAACTTTTAGTATGTAATAAAGTACACTAAACCCTGTCATAATCAATTGGGAAACCTCTTGTAGCAATTGGGGGGGGGGGGTTAAACTGTATTTTGACATGACAATAGGTAAATCCTTAACAACTAGATATATTTGCAAAGGTATATTAAAATTCCACTCCGTTGTGATATCAAGTACAATTAATTCCATCCTCCCCCCAAAATTTACTACACTTTTTTTGGGGATAATAAACCAAGCCTAGAGAAAGATTGGCAATTGTCCCGTTTTGTTCTTAAACTATCATCTACGATATCCAAAATCTATTCTTGATGTAATATTCAAGTTCAGTGATCCTGAAAACCGGATAAAGGACATATTACAAGCCATACAAAACAGAAAAATGGCGATTATCTGAAAATCGTCCATTTTAGGGGAAATCTTGCAGCCATCTTGGATTTTAGCCGTCTTGGATTTCGGATACAATTTTTAAAGGTTGTATTTAAGGTCAGTGACACCGAAAACCCTTAAATGGTATATTGCAAGGCATATCAAACAGTAAAATGACGATTAGCCGAAGCATCGACTATTTTAGCAAAATTTTACTGCCATTTTGAATTTCCGCCATCTTGGATTTTGGGAAGCCAATTTTAGAGATCAATTTCAAGTTCAATGATTACGAAAACCTTATATATGACTATATGTGATATATCACAAGCCTCCTTACCTTGCGTGATACTCATCCATCCTAACAAGAAATTCATTTTTCGTCTAATTTTTGTGGCCATTTTGGAAATCGGACAGACTTTAACCGAAAATGACGTCAAGAAGTGACATAGTATCAAAATCGTATTCAGTGACATATTTTGACTCAGAAATAACCCGTCTCCAAATATCGTTCCGATTGTGACACCCCTAGCTAAACGTTCACTAGGTTAGTACGCTGCCTCGCCGACGTTTACGGCAACCGCTGCTGTACTGAGATTTATTTTTGCCAAATGAATAACCCAAGAAGACCACATACATAATTTGGCTAAATTTATTCTGAACATGATTTGATAGTAAACCTATAAAATAAATATTGAAAAAAATGCCAAAAACGTTGCTTTTTTCAGAATAATCTGTTGATTTGGAAAATAGATGATTCTCTCACCAACCTGTATGATATAACAGCAGATGTAGAATTTGAATGCGAACAATTTGAGCCATATTCCATATCAATAGGTCAATCTGTTGAAGAGTTATGAAGGTTTATCTGACGGCTCAATTGCAATGAAATAACGGCGGCCATTTTTAAAGATGGGCGCCAAAATGGCATTTAACAAAGTGACCCGAAAGTCCATCAACCAAATTTGAACACTTCGAGCACCAGGCTAACTGAAAATCATGGTTGAATTTATTCATCAAATTGGTAATGATACTCCAAAATTTGAGGTCTGTCACATGGACTAATATAGTTGTATTACATCAATATGTTCTTTTAGACTCATTTTCATCTATTTTAAGGTTCCAAAGAATAGAGTCATACGCACCTTAATTTCATTTACCGTATGATACAACCTGATCTGTAACACTGACTGTTACTCTTCTGTTTGCTTTAGAACTTTATTTGCAAGTTATTGCTGTATAATGTAGAATGACATGTTTGAACAAAGTAAATGAAATTAAAGCAGAATCAGAGAATATAAAAATATTATTTATTTGCATAATGCTATATTATAACAGTGATAAATTAAACAAATTTGATTAACAATCAACAAAACTTATATTTTAAATATATGATTAGAAGAAAATAGTATATTGGCTTCATAGAGATGAGTATACATCATGTGGAAGTTCTCCAGTAAAGATTGACGGGTTGAGTAAATAACAATTCTGGCTGAAATCTGAGTTTGAAAAATATTCTGAATGTTGTTCTAGCTCACACCATAATATCCTGGAGCATTCTGTTCCAGGGGTCTGTGCCATACCCTGCCCCTTATTCACATTTAGAAGAATAATGTATATAGTGTGCAATATGGTATTAAAAGAACATTGTCATCAACCAATGGTGACTATATTTACATGGTTTCACTGAAGAGTTGATAATTGTGAAATGGTCAAATAATTCATATTTCACCATCCACTGAAAATTTGAGGTATTAAAATACAACAAATAATATGATATTGTAAAGATTAAATATTATAAATCAAAGTTGAAAACTATAAAGTAGGTTTTTATTGTGGTTTATACCAATTCGTAGAACGAAGTACTGCTCGTTCCCACTGACTAAAGTGTTCTTTATAATCTTTCCAAGTAGGTTCCGGTTCAAATACTTTTCTACTTCCCCTTAGTTCCAACAGTTCATTTTTATCTTTCCACACACCTGTTACGAAAAAAACAAGAGATAGGTGTGAAATTATTTTGCCAAGTAACATTAACCTATACATATGTTACTAGATATCAACACAATACAGAGACAGTCAAAATGGAAATATAGCAACCAAAAGTTTCCTTCCATGGACAAATCTCATTATGCTATTTAGAAGTAGAGGTGAACTGTAAGTTTTGCACACTCAGATGTTCACCCACCATATTTTGTTTGTTTACAGTATGTATAGAAAAGTATTAATATGTGAACAAATAAATAATAGAGAAAAGGAGTTACACAATGTACACTCAACACTGCTTCAGTAAAACAACATTCTACAAGCCCAATCATCATCAGACAATCAGACATTCTATTGGCCAGAATTGTAACTATATATATAGCATACAATTTAAAAAAAAATATCTATAATTGTATCAGCAGAAGTGGACAAAGTATGTTACAGTGCTTAGATTTTTTGCCCTATGTCATTGTTGATCATATGAACAGAATATTGAGATAGAAAGTGGTCATACTGTATTTTGTTTTGGTACTAATGTTCATTGAACTCATTTGTTCGTCAACAGCCTAGCTCTTTAGAAATATGTGACCAGCGGTTGCCAGGCAAGATACGCCCATATTTGCAAGAGATGGATAGAGAACAAGCTAAAAAAAAAAGAAGATTTTTCGTACAATCAGGGGCCATAATCCAGGAAGTTATGGTTTGAAATGCGCGAATATCGAAAAAGACTGATATTTGGGAAATAATCATAAAATTTCAAGTTTCATCAAAATCAGATAAAAATTGTAACTTCTAGAGGGTCCACAAGCTTTGTAGCACATACTTTCACACTATTTGCGTACAAGGAACAGCCATTTTGTCTGGCAGTTTCGGTCAGATTTTTATGAAATTTGAACTTAACCGTCATTGATGTGTAACGGTGATATATATAAACATTTTTTAAAATTGACTTCTAGCTGGTTCACAAGCTTATAATGCGATTTTTCGAACAATTAGGGGATAAACATTGTGAACTCTAGTGTGACCGCATGCTAAAAACGCATTTTTCCGTACAGCCAAGGGACATAATTCAGGAAGTTATGATCTGATATGTGCCAATATCGAAAGGAACTAAGATCTTTGGGTTATAAACATGGACTTCAAGTTTCATCAAAACTGGATCAAAATTGTGACCTCTAGAGGGTCCACATCATTGATATACCATATTTTCACACTATTTGTGTACAGATGGCAGCCATTTTAATATGCAGTTTTGGTGATATAATCTAACGTTTTTTTTAAATCGGATAATAATATTGTCCTCTAGAGGGACCACAAACTAAAACGCGATTTATCGTACAATCAGGGCCATCATTCAGGAAGTTACAATCCGATACGCGCGAATATCGAAAGGAACCAATATCTTTGAGTTGTAAACATCCTTTTCAAGTTTCATCAAAATCAAATGAAAATTGTGAACTATAGAGTGTCCACAAGCTAAAAACGTTCCGTCAAAATCGGATAAAAATTGTCACCTGTAGAGTGTCCACAAACAAATTGACGGCATAATACGTCCACATGAAAATGTGAGCGTATAAAAACCAAGGAGGTGAAGCATAACACATAACAATTTAGCTACATAGCAAAATTTGAAGCCTAGCCCAAAGAATATTTTTACATTAAAAGTTCTAGCTTACCAACGGCAAGACCTGCTAAAAATGCTGAACCAAGACTAGTGATATCAGCCTCACACGATCTTTCTATTGTCTGGTTAACCAAGTCTGACATTAACTGGACTATAAAATCATTATTACATACACCACCATCAGCCCTGAAAACAAATATCCCCAAAAGTATAAGCCAATCCCAATATATTATGAGGATATGCTTTAAAACTTATGGAGTTCTCTTTTTCTACAAGTAAACCATAATCTCAATTTCTCTCCAGTTAACATGTATAGTTAAAAGTCCAATTTGCACGCCCCATGCTTGAAATCAGTTATTTCGACAAAAAGTAAAGACACATGCTTGCCCTATGTTAGCTGAAGCCAGCAATTTCAAGGCCAAGGTAAGTGATATTAAAAGCTCGGTTAAAAGACATTATTCACAGTGTCTTTTCATCTAAATCAGGAAATGTTAGATATCAATATTTAGTTGTTAATTATAATTCCACATATTTTGTCAAGAATCATAGTGATTCAAAAAATAAATTCACCGCCAACAACATAATTCAGATGTTGGATTTTTTAATTGATAATATCTTTGTTGAATTTGGAGGGGAAATTTATCAGCAAGTTGTAGGTATCCCCATGGGCACCAACTGTGCACCTTTGCTTGCTGATTTGTTTCTCTATTCCTACGAAGCCGGTTACATACAGGCACTTGTAAAATCAAATAAACGATTAGTCAGACATTTTAATTTCACTTATCGATATATCGATGATGTTCTATCACTGAATAATCCAAAATTTAGTGATTATGTAGAATTCATATATCCTGATGAGCTCAAAATTAAAAACACTACTGACGGTGACAATTACGCTTCCTACTTGGATTTGCATCTCGATTTTGACAATTGCCATAAACTTAGTGTTAAATTGTACGATAAACGTGATGACTTTGACTTTCCGATTGTTAACTTTCCATTTATTAGTAGTAACATTCCAATATCACCAGCTTATGGAGTGTTTGTGTCTCAACTAATTCGTTACGCGAGAGCTTGTTCATTTTATTCTGATTTTTTAAGTAGATCGAGGCATTTGTCATCTAAGCTTCAACTACAGGGATACTTGCGAACTAAACTTATTAAAACCTTTAAAAAGTTTTATGGCCGTCATATTGACTTGATTGGTAAATATAACATGTCTCTCTCGGCTATTTTTCTAGATATATTTAATTGACGCGTATACTATCTCCCTGATAATGTCTGTCTACTACATCGTTAACACTGTTCATCACGTGCATTTTGCATACCGATAGTTCATTGGCCAATCACGCTATTTTACCGAGATTTCGCCTAATAGTTTGGATGCAGCTATGGCGGGTGTGGCGCCAGGCAGGGTAAGCTTACTCTTCCGGACACCTGTTACCACTGTTTGTCGTGTATTTTGTACACGGTGAACAGTCCATATGCTGATTACACTATTTTGCCTTATTACACTATTTTGCCTATACCGTTTTTTTAGGACTTCGAATTTTGTCTAATGGTTTGGATTGTTCGTACTTGGTTTTATTTTATTGGAAAAAAAGCCTTCTTGAACACAGGTAGTAAATTGGGTTATTTGCCCTACATTTGTTTAGACAAAAAGATAAGCTAGCTTAACAAATTGCCATTTTTTTTATTAAGTGATAAAAGGATCCTTTGCAAACTACAATAGTGTGAAGATTGAATCAATATAAATATATCAGTCCAAAAATGGTTCAATTCCATTCAATATTTACAAAGATAAGATGAAATGAAATTCCAGATCTGTGTTACTTCCTATTTAAATGGTACACTTTACTTCTTCTACTTTTCTCTCTTCTTTTTCTTGACAGAATTTGTCAACAACATGGGTCTACATTATTTTAAAGCTGAACCTTCAGCCATTTTGCAATCGCCAGTCTTTTTTTTATTGTCAGATGACATCATGACATTCTAACAAGCCCATCATCATCTTTATGTTTCGCAAACTTGACGGGCCTGATTTTAATCTAATGGAATCCAAGCTGAAAGTTTATCTAGTGTTGATATTTTGATAGGTTTATTCCTACGAAGGCGCAGTTATTGACTGTAACGGATTAAAGCAGATCGTTTTCAACGCCTTCGTGGGAATCCAGCCTTCAGGGATTAAAATGGATTAAAAATGTAACAATGGAGTTACAGATTGTTATGATAAGAATTTAGATTTTCATAATCCCCAATGTGACTAATTAACTAACATTTTAACATATTTGGAATATGACTTTAAGAAATAAAAACAAATTAATCTAATTTCGCCAAATAAGAAACCCTGTCTAAATACTCGACTAAAGTTAATTCCTCTTCTTCGTGTCTACTTTTTAATTCCTGGAGCTGGCTTTGGATTTGAGCATATTTATATCTCTTCCTTGGTGGTTCCTGTCACCGGCATACTGTACGATTCTAATTTCATTAATATTTTTATCTTGTTGTAAAAATGCGATCATTTAAAAAAAAATTTGGATGAGCTTTAACAACTAGCTTCTTGATCCTTGAATGCCATCCTTCCAGAGTGTTGTTGGTTCTGTGTTCCCCTGTGTGGTAGTGGTTCCACTGATGGGTAGCATATTCACCCTCGCCCATTGGTTTGTTACGTAGTCGGCCAATTCAGTTATCTTTGGATCTAATTGAGAGTGAGCGAATATGTGAACACTACTTGGATGCTTTGATGATATTCATCATTAGTTGCCAATTGGTGATTAAGATTCATATTGAATACCTGGATGATTTGATGATTTTCATCATTAGTTGCCAATTGATGAATAGAATTCAGAGTGAACAGAAATTCATAAAGTCTTTAACACTGTTAAATGGGTCCTAATAACAACATGCCTCTCTTCAAACGAAAACCAACAAGTAGATATCTGCGCCTTTGTGGGAAGGATTAATTTTGGTCACGCTCTGTAACGGCGCCGTCACGGGAATACACCTTTTGATATTGTTTTCTCAATTAAATTTTAAAATAATTAAGCTGTGAGAAATTTGATATTTTCCAAAAAATGCAAACCACACACAGTTACTTTAAAGGCTCAATACCACTCTTGTTGTAACTGAATAATATGTCCCAATCTTTAGTCTGGTCAACAAATTGTACTATTTTAGAATATTTCAATTAATTGATGATACAAATTTCATCTTAACACACCTTATTTAAAATTTTTGAAAAATTCAACATAATGGTTTGAAACGTCTAACGTAAACCTTTTCAAATGAAACTTCGATTTAAAAATTTTTTTGAACCCTCTGGACAAGTAAAATAGGATGTAATGGATAATTTACACAACAGGTAGGACACTTAAACATCTAGTACTTAGATAGAGATATTATTTATTTTCTGGAGCTTTCAAGCCAGCAAGAGTGTTATTGTCCCTTTAACTAAAGTGTCTGAATGGCATAGTTGTCAGTTATAACCAAATTCAACAACGGTAATATCTTTAAAACTATTTTCTAGTGAGTTAATCAAATGAGGAAAATAAAGTTAATTTACCTGATATGAGATAGAGGAAGTTTAGTTTCTGTAAGAATAGTTTCGTATAATATTTTAAATCTAAATGCTAGTGATTCTAATACAGCTCGTACAATATGTGCTTTTGTTGTCCCAGGACTGATACCTATCATACTGGTAGTGGCCATATCATCATTTATTGGTGCCTGTAAGCCACTAAACGCTGGTACAAAATATACACCACCACTATCTATATATATATATATATATAAACACAACATCTTATCACTTAAACCATAACAATAAAGATAGGCTGCCAGGCAATGTTACGAGGGGTGATTGATAAGTAGTGAGCCTAACACAGAAAGAAACAAGAAATTCAAATCAAATGCATTTATTTTTCAACATAGTCCCCCTTCAATGTAATACACTTCTGCCATCGGTGTTGCAGAGCCTTCATTCCAGTTCTGTAGAAGTCTTTGAATTGGGTGTGTAGAAAATCATCCACAGCGGCAATGACGTCATCATCAGACGGGGAAATGCCTACCGGAAAGACATTTCTTAAGAGCAGGAAACAGATAGAAATCTGAGGGAGCTAAATCAGGAGAGTAGGGTGGATGCTGAAAAAGTTGAAAACCACAGTCATGGATTGCTGACATGGCAACAGCTGATTTGTGCACTGGGGCATTGTCCTGGTGGAAAATCACACCTTTGGTCAGCTTTCCTCGTCTTTTAGTCTTAATTTATTGCCTCAACTGCCTTATAAGTGCTGCATAGTATCTACCGTTAATTGTTAGACTCTTTTGGAGTCGGCGACGTCACATGTTTCCACTGTTTTGACTGCTCTTTTGTTTCTGGCTGAAAGTGGTGGACCCAAGTTTCATCCATAGTAACAATCTGTTTTAGGAAGCGGTCAGGATCGGTTTCAAATAAGGCTAAATTCTCTTCTTAACATGATGTGTCTTGAACGCTTTTGATCAGGCGTCAAAAACCTGGCACCCATCGTGCGGAAACCATTGTCATTTGCAAAGTTTCGGTGATAATAGAATGAACTCTCTCCTGGCTAATACCAACTACCCTAGCTATGAATTGTTCAGTAACTCGCCGGTCATTCATTATCAGATCATGGATTTTTTGTACCATTTCAGGTATTGACACAGTTTTTGGTCGACCAGGGCGTGTTTCGTCTTCAATGCTGTCTCGGCCACGCTTGAATTCAGCTGACCACCTTTTAATTGTCGCATATGAAGGAGCATCATCTCCTAATGTCTCAACCATATCATCATGTATGGCTTTTGGTGTTAGACCCTTTTTATGCAGATACTTAATCACAGTTCTCGCCTCGATATGGTCCATTTTCTGATAACAACAGACCCTACTTGATTGTTATGACCTGTCACAACCAAACAGTTTAACCGAATGTGATAATAGTGCACGTGCAAAACGTGGTATCATTGTGTTGCACAATTTTCCAATCGAGGCTCACTACTTATCAATCACCCCTCGCATACCAGCAGTTTTGTTGTCTGAGCTATTTATAAAGGATGTTACCAACATTAAAATATTTTCAAGTTTAGAAAATAATTTCTCGAAGTTTGAAAAAATAAATCTGACCTATGGTGCAATTATATACTGGTGACAAGGGCAGTAACTATCCAAATAAATGATGCATAGCTATGAATTCTGATAGGTTCATCCTTATCACAGTGCCAGTAAGTGTGAAAAATCTCGTAAAACTCTTGCCATGCAGAGTAATAGCAATGTTATAAGTGTAATAACTTTCTGAACAGCTGCACAATTCTGAAATGATGGGGTTCACTCTATGAGTAGTCTGAAAATAATGTCAAAAACATTGACCTTAGGAGTGATTACAAAGTATTAGAATTTAGCTCTAAACAGCTAATAAATATGGTTCAACTTATATGAGAATATACTGTCAGTATAATGAAGGTATTAAAATACAACTTGAAATATTTAATACTATGGCTATAAAACTTACCGGGAACTGATTTAGCCAGCTCTGCTGTTTTTGTAACATCATCAAATATACCTGTATAGATATACATGTATAATAAACATAGATGATATATATCTATATAATAAATTTTATCAAAGGACATTAGGAAGATGATGAATTTGGTAAATATAAACAATTAATATATTATATTTGACACAGATTTAAATTTCCACTATTTACAATATGCAAATAAAATGAAATGAAATGGGGTTTAACATCCTACTGTTCTGCTCCGATTGGGCTAATTAAGACGGGCATACGCCAATACAGTGTGCTATATGGGAAATTTTGTCCAGGCAGCGGCACTATGGCCTACTCTTATATCGAATTCCAACTGCCAAGGGATCTTTTACGTGCATTCCAATGTATACACAGAACGCAGTTTTTCGTCCCATCCAAATAACTAGACAGCTATCCTTGTCAAGCCCTCTATCCTGCAACATTTACAATAGACAGTTATAGCAAACTAACCAACAGAATGAATCCAGTCTAAAACATTTCCAGTATCAGCTGCCTGACCTTCAGCTACAAAGGTCATCTCATCCCCAATCTTCCAACCAATGAGAGGGTAAAGTCCTGTAATTGTATAATGTTGAAAGTTCACTTGATTTAATGATAGGTTACAGAGAAATAGATTAAGAGAATTGTCTACAACTGAAATAGCATGTAAATGCAGTTCCCCTTTTTAAAGCATGACGTCATGTTGGAATTGTAATGCTGAGGACTTTAATCGATGTGCAATTGTTCAAGAAACAAGTATGCCAAGTTTTATGGTAATCGTACATGAAATAACTCAGCCTTTGGCTTTTTTGAATTGCATCACTCCAAAAACTACAAGATTAAGATGAGTTGTGCTTGGCGACCAGTTCCTGTCCAAAAATCAGGAAAGAAAAAACAACTCAGAGTAATGTTCACTGATAGGTTGATTTCTTAGTAGATATTTGAGTTTGAACTGAATAACATATCGTGAAATTGTAAGGGTTGATATGTATCTACTTGTTGTACATACCTGCAACAGAAGCATGAGGTGTATTACCAGTATTTAAATCTACAAATGTTCCTGTTCCCATAGTACATTTTACATCTCCTACTTCAAAACAACAATGTCCAAATAATGCACTTTGTTGATCTGCTACCTGAAATAAAATTAGGTTTTAACGTAAGACTTCATCTACAGAAGGTATCTTTATTTCACAATAATATGTTTGTGTGAATTTAGCAAAATCTTACCGGTTATGTGTTAGTTACTATAATCAGTTACGAGTAAATGTATTATAAATTGTAAATAAATCTTCTTACTATGGCTGTGATTGGAATTTTGGCACCAAAGAATTTTTCATTAGTATAACCAAAATGGCCACTGAAATAATTGATAGAAAAAACAATAATAATCATAATTTATGAAAAGAAGTGTCAATGTGTGATATCATAAACAAGGGACACCAAACATCAGATACAAACATACAATGAAAACTACAAATATGTGTAAGGGGATTCTCATTAGAAAGAGTAAGCACACCTTGCCTCATGCATCACATCTGCCATAACTTATAGCCAAATATTAATTAATTTAAAAGGGTGGGGGGGGGAGTAGAAACATCTTACTGTGAATTACATGGAACAATATACTGTAACCCGGGTATCATTTAATCTTGTGTATCTAGCACTAATTTCTTTCATGTTCATTCAATATCAAAATCATTTAATATCACCCCAAATCATCTAATTTGTACTTGTGTCCAGTTTAAAGCTGACCATTCAATTTTGATAACGAGCCTTCAATTAACAAGCGTTTATTTTCTCGATTACTGTTCAAAAATAAACAACCCATCTGATTATTGATGTATAGTTAATAATTTTTGAACAGTGGTCAGGAAATTAAACGCTTGTAAGTTGGAAACTCATTGTCAAAATTAATCAGTCAGCTTTAAACAGGACACAAGTACAAATTAGATGATTTTGGGTGATTTTAACTAATTTTTATGAATTTTTAAACTAAGATTTGATATTAAACGAATGTGAAAGAAATTAGTGCTAGATACACAAGATTAAATGATATATAGGTAATATCCACTTTCTTTCCTCTTGTTGTATGTAAACACAAATAAAGACATGTTTGATAAATTGATAGGCCACATCTAGATCAATACGTTTTGTGTTTATATTTGTCATATTAGTAATTTGATGAGAAAGAAAATAAACAGAAGATATGCAAGCCATAGAAATTAATCCAATCTGACAAAATTAAAGATAGGTCGTTTTTTGTTAAACCATAAAATTTCTCGCGACTTTATCCAAGCTAATATGTACTAAGAATAATTATTTAACATTTAAAGTGCACATAAGATGGGCCTGGGAACTTTTCGATACATGTAGCCAATGGTTACTATATCAACTTTACGGCAAGTTCACACCAATCTGATTGAAATTAATTCAGTTATCTACACTCTAAGTCGTAAAAATAGACCTCCCGTAAAACGACTTTGCCAATTATCGAAAACACTCTTAATCCCCTCAGACGCCAGTGACGTCACAGTGACCGAATGCATATTCGGAATGTTTATTCCTTAATTACCTATATACAGCCGGCGTGTGTATTCATTGACGCCTGACTGATTCCTTAATCCCCCAAATCAAATAAAACAATTGACTACAGAATAATTTGTTTTGTTATTTAATTTAAATTTAAGATCCAATTTAGATTTTGTTTCATAATGTACGGTCGCTCTTGTTTCTCAGGACAGCGATTTTAATACCCTCTAACATCGTGTGCAGTCCAATCGATTCGAGATACATACATTTTTGTCAAAAAAGTATTGTGGTTCTAATGTCCCCGAGTAAAAGAGTACAGGAGTAAAAAGATGTGGTCATGCAAAATGTATCATAAAAGTCAAAGATGATTAAAAATCGATTTATAAATGACGATCCGTTATCATCGTACGGCAGATTTGACTTCATTACTCTGAAATAGACCGTAAAAATGAAATACGAAAAAATATCTCAATATACATTAGAATTAACAGTACAAATAAATTTTGTTGGTAACCATCTAAATGGAATAACAGACAGATTGAGAAGGGTCATCTAACTATCTTTGTGTATTGATAATAATATGGCAAGTAGTATTGTTAATATCTGTCATTAATTAATCAATCCGACTAAAGTTATACAGACTTGGGGTCATAAATTAATTTACATCTCGGTGTTAGCAGTGATTGTTAGTGGGATTAAGAATGCTGATTAGGTAATTATCTTTTTTACGCCGGCCAGATCAAAGACATCACTCTAGGTGGAACGTGTGCGTAGTACCCACGAATGGTAGAATCGTAAACACACACATATTAATTGTATAAAATAATTAAGTTTTACTCATCAGTTGTTTATAATTATCATTTACCCAATAATTATTGCTCACCAGTGTTTTTGTAATCAAGTAGCCTCGTATTATTTGTTGAATGGCGTTTAAACAACATTTAATTGACTTGATATGAAATCTGAATATAAATTATTTGAGGGATAAATTTTTGTGATACGATTAGGTTATCTTCTTTATAATAAAAGTATTTCACAATTGCATTGACAGTTTAATCACTCACCAAAAGGCAAAAGGAACTCTACGTATGATCAAGTGTATTTGATATTCATGTCCATGAATCCCATGCAAATTTCGCACCAAAGTTTAACCTCAGTTACTACACTCGTAGTGCATAGAACCGTACATGGCAATAAGATTCCCAGCGTTGATCGGCTAAGAAATGAGGGCGATCTATGCATGGTCATCGGAAAATTTCATATTCGCTGTGAATTTCAAATGGAGTTACGATAAAAGTTGTTCTTTGTGTATAGAAATGGTTATTATTATTATATATAGCTAATAATGAATATATCGACAATTGACTGGCACCGTTTGTATTTCTGTAATTAGAGAATAGTTTGGGATATCAAGTATTACGGGGGTTATCCAAATAACCGGTAAATGCGCTAATTGCTTAGGTCGTCTTCAGTTGCCACAAGGCCTATTTAAACAATGGCACCTTAAATGGATCTACGGCATGATACGGCATTTTAAATTCACTCTAAAATATTCCAATCACAAATGTCTAATCTATAACAACGCAAGACGATAATTCGGTGATTATGATTATGCGAGTCACATGTTAATTGGACCGACATGTACACACTTGTCAACTGGTGGTGTGTATTGTATAGATAATGTATATATTATGTGTAGTGCCTGTGACATCACCAGCCAATCAACCGGATTAAGGTTGTAATTGAAAATTTGAAAAATGTTTTTGGCTTTCGGATACTTAAATCTCAATAGCTAAATTAATTTTAATCAGATTGGTTTGAACTTGCCGTCAAATGGATATAGTAACCATTGGCTATAAGTACATTCAATTAAGATTTTTAATCTTATGTGGTCTTTAAATAAGAAAACATAATCAAAATACCAACGCTAGATAATCTCCCGGTATGGATTCGAATGGATTTAAGAAAGGTCTATCATTTCTGTTCGACCACAACAAAATGGTGTTGGGCTTATTACATGGGGAACAGCACGTACTGATGAAATTTCAATTCAACATAATTTTATAAGTACTGAACGGAACTGAACTATTTTGGGATTGATATTGCTTTTAGAGATTCGTCTTTCACAGTATTGTAGTTGGCAAAGGATATCTATTGCTTAAAATTACGCATCAAGACATTAAAATACAGACAGAAATTTTGATGGCCTCTACAAACACGGTAACATGCATAGTGTGTAGAACCTATCTCTAAGTATTGACTAACTGGCCTATGGGTTAGAATATCTATATATGAAGTAGAAAGGGTTCATTGTGGTTACTATTCATGGAAATTTGTGAGAAATATACGTGTTGTCAGTAGTCGCTTAAACCCGTCAGTATTTGTACCGTACGTCAGTATTCCTATAAATGGTCAGTAATAATCATAAGGTGAGTATTTAAGTCAATTGGTTAGTATTCCTTACTTGTGTCAGTATGTAAAAATAACGTGAGTAATTAAACAAACGTGAGTTAAGCCGACCATATCACTAGTCAGGCGCGTGCGGGAGAAATAGACAAAAGCGTGACTAATTAAGAAACCGTCACTATTTGACCTCTGGGTCACTATCAGAGTGAAACCGCCAGTTATCTTTGATGTGCGTCAGTAACTGGATCCGACGCCAGTAGAGCATGAAGAGAACATTCCGTACATTAGTAATGTAGGTCTTGTATATTAAACTTTTATAGGAATAAATTTTTTTAATCTCACCACTTAATTAGCACCTTGGTGTTATATCAGGAGATTAAGAATGTTGATTGGGTAATCGAGTTTAGCTTCTTGATTATCAAAGAAGCCGTCACAGCTAAGCGTATATTCTGTGACCTTCGTAACATGACTCAATTAAAATAAGGTTTTGAGCGTACGATAGGTCTACTTTTATTTTCAGGTACCGGAATGGTATCAGAATCCGAACCCCAGATAGGGTAATGAACGTAACCATGATATCACAATGAGCCGCGCCGGGTGTCTGGACCGAACATTTTAAAGTATTGTATGGGTTTTAAAACTTGTTTGTATTCGTTAAAATTGGGATTATCGGTAATTCATAAACTAGAGATTCACGGCTTCACAACGATGCCAAGTATTACTTAAGGAGACTGATCGGTCGGCCCTCTGCATTATCTATTTTTGTAATATAGTTAGAATGGCCAGCTCTTTATCTAAATCTTAGTATTGAACATGCTTTACGTTTCAATATTCCAGACCCACTGGTTGATGGCTATCTTAAAATTTTGTGGTTTAGTTAACAGGAATAGAGATGAGAAGAACGAGACAGAACAGATACAGGTAGACGAGGAGAGAAAAAAGCTTTTGACAGAGCGCGGCCATTGCTCCGATGATGGTAATCTTTACGAGGAAAAGATTGTCACAACAATGAAAACGCAAGAAATGAAACGAGGCTTAATGTCCTGGGCTTATGAAGACTGCCATATGCCATACAGTGTGGCGGTACTATGGCCTACTCTTATATTGAATTCAAACTACCAATTGACCTTTTACGTGCACGCCAATGTATGCACAGGATCTTGGTTTTTTGTCACACCCGAACGACAAGACAGCCATCCTTGTTACGCCCTCCGTCCTTCACCACTGATAAGGGGAAACCACGCCGGAAAATCCAGATGAACTTTCTCGGCCGATGCAGGGATCGAACACGCGACCTCCTTCCTGTCTAGTGAGCCAGCGTCTTTATTTTTATCTTACCCACTTAGCCACCATCGCTCTCCGAAATATACAGGAGCGAATTTACGAACAAGTGTACGTAGAAGTAAAACGGTGATTTAATTTGGTGGAAGAGTTGCAAAATTGATTACAGCTCACAGGAAACTAAAATTTTGTAATGTGGATTTGGTATCGTTTTACTATTATGCAAGAAAAGAAAATATGAATTCAAAGAACTATATCAACCTTCGTTTTTTATCCGCGCCTCTCTTGCACGCGTACCAAGATGATAAATTGTGGAAACTCTCTCTCCCTCTCTGGATAGCCATAACGTGGATGGGTATGCTGTGGCGGTCTTCATTTAATTTTATGAATTGTTTTTATTGAATGGATGATGTTTTCAAAAGGTAATAAAATTAACTGCCAAACGACTCGTTATCCCGTCAGGTAGCACATGTTTGTGCGTAGAACATTTCGCAGCTCAATTTGTGAATTTTTGTATTTCAATCTTGAATACTTATTCTTTTAAAGTAAATAAAATAAAGTGCCAAACGAACGATTTGTTACCCCGTCGGGTAGCGCATTCATGCGTAGAACGTTTGGCATTGTATATTATACCATATAATATGTTATTACTATTTTCATCGTTATAAATATTTTTTAAAAATTGTTATAAAAGCTAACTTCTCAAAGGTAAAAAGATATTCACATGACTATTCTGTGCTCATAATTTCAACCTACATGCTTGTTTCAGTAAAAGCAGTGAAAATATATTTACTCTGTTCTTTCTTAACCATTAGTTGTCATTCCAAATTGAATCCATACAGATATCAAAACATAATAATCAAGAGGCTAAACTCGATTACCCAATCAACATTCTGAATCTCCTGATATAACACCAAGGTGCTAATTAAGTGGTGAGATTAACATTTATTCCCATAAAAGTTTAATATACAAGACCTACATTACTAATGTATGGACTATTCTCTTTCGTTCTAAATTATAACACCGAGAGAAATATTAAACAAAAATTAACTTGCTTTTCCTCAAACAATCTCAAACGGATATAGCTCAGTCAATTTTATAGTTTAATATTAGTTATCTTTTTAAATAAAGCAACCCAACTCCAGTTGCCTTGACACCAAAATATTTCCAATATGAACCCTGAATAGCTCAGTCAATTGTATAGCTTAATATCAGTTATCTTTTTTAAATGAAGCAACCTAACTGCAGTCGCCTTGACACGAACAATTCTTGAAATGGTCGGGCTGAAGTTTGAATTATATGGGTTTTTTTTAGGTGTTTTTTTTTATCAGGAATCGGTTTGTAATATGTTGCAAATCTGAAGATACCAATAATAATGTATATAGATATTCACACGATTGTTCAGTGATCAGAATTTCAGCTTGTATGTACGTATATGAAATTCATTATTTCTGTTATCTGCTATCATATTATCTGTTTAAATAAAATTAGTGAAAACAGATTTGTGTTGATCTTTTTTTTTAACCATTAGTTGTGATTCCAAATTTAATCCATACAATGATTTCAAATTTAATCCATACAGTGATTCCAAATTTAATCCATACAGATATCAAAGTGCCGCAAGTCCCAAAACATGTTATATAACGAGAATAAATATAAATTGTAAATTAAATAACACTACACATTGCGCCGTATTCTGCAGACTACGGCAGTAATCGAAATCGCCGACAAATATTCCTATTGTTGACTGTCATCCATTATTGTTTAAAAACATTTCCCGATTCGAGAATATTAGTAAATAATTAATTAATAATTTATTCAGCATGTAGCGACGATACTCACTAACAATACTTAACAAAAAATTTATACACTTAACGATTTCACGCTCTACTGGCGTCGGATCCAGTTACTGACGCACATCAAAGATAACTGGCGGTTTCACTCTGATAGTGACCCAGAGGTCAAATAGTGACGGTTTCTTAATTAGTCACGCTTTTGTCTATTTCTCCCGCACGAGCCTGACTAGTGATATGGTCAGCTTAACTCACGTTTGTTTAATTACTCACGTTATTTTTACATACTGACACAAATAAGGAAAATTTACCAATTGACTTAAATACTCACCTTATGATTATTACTGACCATTTATAGGAATACTGACGTACGGTACAAATACTGACGGGTTTAAGCGACTACTGACAACACGTATATTATATAAATAATTACCTGGTATCTTTAACTTCAGGAAATATAGACATTGGTATATTTACAAGATTGCAAACAATACTACTCCATTCAATCTGTTTATAATTTAAATAAATACAGTTCAATAAACACCATAGAAATTGCTTATATTGTCTTATATTATTATACCTTACACGTAAGACAGTAAATTTCATGAATAAACCTGATTCTAACACAGATTACAGAAATGAAGTAATCCACAAATGTATAGTTTGGCACAATAAATGCAATTCAGAAAGTTAAACACATAAGTGGGCTTTTCCAGCCTCCAAGATATCTGTAAACAAACCAACTTCAATTGAAGAATCTTCAGAGTTTAAATAGAAAGCATGTCCCAACACTTATCAAAATAACACACAAAATCAACCCAATACAAAACCCTTTTCAACTTAAATCAAAGAGGTTACCTCCTTTAAATTTAACTGTAAAGGTTTGAATATACGTACATTATCTATATTTCAGGAATCGTATTCACCCAATCTAATTAAAATACAAATTTAAATTTGTTGTTCTGTTTTTTTTTTAAAATACTTTATATCACTTGAACTCCACATGGGTCACGTCAGAGGCCACGTAGATGAACTATGTCTGAATGAATTAAGTAAACTATTTATATGTAACGTTTGTTTTGTTACCTAGTGTTTTATATGTGTCTTCCTTCATAATTCTGTGCACATTTTTCTTACACCTCAAGTAAACAGATAACTTTATTGGCTTATCATCCTAAAAATCCTACCAGTTACTACTTTTACGAAGACAATTAAAATGAAATTTGAACTATACAAAAAAAAACATGACCTAGTAGTTTGTATCTCATTTATTTATACTTAAACTTAAAATAGATGTATTTCTTATATTCATTATGCTTCCTCTCAGATTGTTAATAATACACCATAATTTGGAAGATATTAACCAGATGCAAATTACCTGAAATGGATCAAAGAGACCAGTAGAACTAGCACATGAATAATCTGTAGCATGAACAGTTCCACCTGTTAGTTTCCATAGTAACCATGTATCTATACAACCAAACATAACTTTACCTTCTGATGCCCTTTCATGTAACTAAAGAAAGAAATTATTCTTTTATCAAATTTTATAAATATAATCAATAATCTTAGCACTTTTTTTTCTGTGTTTTGTTAACAGTTTGATATTATTGTCAGGTACAACAAAAAATTTTATTTTCTGGCCTGTCCAATTCTACTGTAAATGAATGTGAAATGAGGTTTAACGGGCACTCAAAACAAACTAGGTTATTTTGGGACTAACATATGGCTCAATTTAATTTCAATACTTTCATTGTGCGTAGGTGTCTTTCGCAGTAGGAAGAAAGCGGAGGACCCAGAGAATACCCACAAGGGTGAACAGGTGATCCTATTCCTTGTCACTTACAAGCAGGAAATTGAAACCACACAATATGACTCAATGACAGACCTCACGTTAGACTAATCGGCCACACAGCCCTCATCTTTAAGAAGACATGGGGAACTTTGCTGATCTTTCTATAATAAGGATTCTCATTCATTAATTACAAATTATAATATAAATCTACCCTCAAATCTGTTGTAAAATTTTCCTAATTTAATTAAGAATTCATAGCTACCTTTGGAATGTTATGAAAGAACCACAACAACCGCATTGTGACCTAAAAATACAAATATAATTGATCTATAGAAAGGAATGGGATTTAAAGTCTTGCCAATACAATATTTTGGTCATTTTGAGACTGACATAATAATATGGTCAATTCATTTCTATGTGTGCAATGAGGGGAGAATTTTACCTAGACTGCCACTTTTTCATGTATGCTTCTTCAAATTCCATCAGCCCAGGATTCTTTTTAGGTGCATGTCAATAGTTTTTCATCCCATTTAAAGATGGGTTCCCAGAAAAGTATTTATCGGGTGGTTATTTCCAATAAAAGTATGGCGATTTTGGTATATATGGAAAGTAGAGATATCTAATCTTACAAGAAAAATACTGAATTCCCCGAAAAACACTCATGGAGCGTATACCGGACAAAAATGTAAGGGTTCCCCTAATCGACAGCCCGACGATTAGGAATTTCTGCACGCGTGATTTCAAAGGTCACACGCAAACATGAGCGCTTGATGTACAAGTTGATAAACTTTCTGAGATAAAAATGACGGAAAAAAACGAGGGTAGTGGATAATCCGAGAATTTAATTAGGATTCGATATTTGTATTAAATAGTAAGCGATTAAAGACAACATCATCTTATGTATACAATGAATTCTCCTCTGACTTCCAAGAGAGGTAAGTCCCGTGACGTAAACATGACCTGGTTTGATCAAATTTTTATAGCAGGGCAGTCCTTCGCAATTACAATGTTTGAGAAGGATTTGAAGCAAAACTATGACGAATTAATTAGTTTGAATATGTTTTTAGTCCACATATACCATTAAATCACCCAGTTTGTACCGGGAATGTATCTTTAAACTACATGGCAAAATTATTCTTGTCAGCCCAGCAGGCTCCACATACGACAAGTGAAAACAGAGATTGAAAAAGAACTATTGCATGGATTTGGGATTGTCATGAACAACAATGTTGTGCAGTATTACCACAGAATTGAACTTACCTGTTAAATGTTAAAGATACATTATGTAAGAGCTAAATCTGCCTATTACAGGTCTTATATTCTGGCTTCAAATGTTATATAAATTATTATTTAGACATTTATTCACATGACAAGTTTATAATCAACTCTCTAGATCATCGGATGGATTGGACATTAATTAGATTATACCATTTGTGCCATTTAAATGAAAAAATCAAAACTCAGTTAATTAGCGTAGTAATAACAATCGAGTTTACGCTATTTCTTGTCAAACTTCAAACATTCATAACTTCGTTCAGAATAAAGTAATTTGACTGAAATTTCCAATATATTTATTTTTCAGTATCTATTTTTTAAACTATTATAGTGAGAATGACCAGCTCTTTATCTAAATCTTACATAATGCATCTTTAATGAAAATGATGGATCAGGTTCATCACTTTAGATTCCATTAACTAACCTGTTTTGTTAAGAACCGTAAAACACTTGCTGCCAGATATCTCTTTTTTCTTGTTAAAAAGTGCAGTAATTTGGACCCTGTATTAAGGCACTGAAAATTACACTAATCAGATAAAAGTACCAGTTTGAAACAAAAATTCCAATAATCAGATAAAACGTCCCATTTGAAACATAAAAATTTCAATAAACAGATATAATTACCAGTTTGAAACATAAAAATTACAATTATCAGATAAATTACCTGTTTGTAAAATAAAAATTACAATAAACAGATAAAATTACTAATTTGTAAGATAAAAATAATAATAATCAGATAAATTACCAGTTTGTAAGATAAAAATTACAATAATCAGATAAAATCACCAGTTTGAAACATAAAAATTACAATAATCACAAAGATAGGTTGCCAGACAACGAAACATAGGCCCACAGCATCTAAATTGTCCGGTCAGTCAACAAGAGTTGTTGCATATTGTTACTTTTGTCGGTAATGAAACATTTATAATACACTAAAATCTGATTAAGTGTAACAACTCATTAAACATACATTATGCAAGAGCTAAATCTGCCTATTTCAGGTCTTTCTTTAGGCCTGAAATGTTATCTAAATTATTAATTAGACATTAATTAACCTATCCAGGCCATAATCAACTCTGGATGGCAGCGCTAGCCTGCGATCTTTAGTGGATTGTAAGCCGATTTACTGCATAACTTTCCTTCTCGATTAAACGATTAAATGGATAATCAAGACTATGCTGTTTATCGTACTGACTTTAGTAATGATGACCGAGGCTTATGGGAATTTCAGTCGCTTAGTTCTTGGTTCATAGTGGATCAATTTAAATAAAATTTTCACCAAATTGCCTTTCCATTATCTAGTTTTTAACTATTAAAGTGAGAACTGCCAACTCGTTACCGAATCTCCCATAATGTATCTTTAAGTAATTATCAGAAAATCATTAACATTTGGTTGGCTCGTGCTAACGTTTAGTATACAAAACATTTAATATTTTGGATTTAGCTTTTCCCTTTTATCAAAAATCATTGAAAATCAATATACTTGATCGTCCCAAGACCTTAAACTGTGTGTATCAATCTAAATTCACATTTAATATTATGGATTTAGCTTTTCCCTTTTATCAAAAATCATTGAAAATCAATATACTTGAACGTCTCAAGACCTCAATCTAAATTCAATCGAAACGATTATATATTGGCGTAAACACAGTGTATAAATATAAAATCAATCAGATGATAACTATGGTCTCTAAAGCATCCACAAGACTTTTCAAAGTGATCAAGAGCCATAACTCTGGCAGTAATTATCGAAATTCGCTGAAAATCAATAGGCTACTTCGTTTGATGACCTTAAACAATGTGTATAAATTTATAGTCAATCGGATATTAACATTAGCCTCTAGAGCATTCACAATATTTTTTAAAAGTGATCAAGGGGCATAACTCTGGCAATAATTATCGAAAATCAGTGAAAATCAATAAGCTTCTTCGTCTCATGACCTTAAACACTGTGTATAAATTTAAAGTCAATCGGATATTAACTTTAGCCTTTAGAGCGTCCACAAGTCCAAATTAGCCCTATTCTAAAATCATTGTTAAAAATCATAAAAACACTCATTTAATTAAGTACTTGAACATTTATTAAACTGTTTATATATTAAATGCACATCTTCAAACTTATTCAGGGTATTGATGTAATGAAACTATATTCAGTTTTTTACGAAGGCCCATTATTGCCAAACAAAAAAAAAAATATTAATCCGTTAATATATTAATCTTGTTTGAACGATTTAATTATCACTTTTGAACGAATTAATTATCTTGTTTGAACGAATTAATTATCTTTTTTGAATGAATTAATATCTCGTTTGAACGAATTAATGATCTCGTTTGAATGAATTAAGTATCTCGTTCGAATGAATTAAGTATCTCGTTTGAATGAATTAAGTATCTCCTTTGAACGAATTAATCATCTCATTTAAAGATACATTATGGGAGATTTTTATAGAGAAATGGCCATTCTTGCTATAACAGTTCAAAAGTAGATGATGAAAAAAGAATATATTGAAAATATTTGACTAGAAATGGTAGTGAAATGTGCCTTCACCTTGTCCGATCATTTGATTGACAGGCGTTAACTCCCCCTATATATCTCGATTATCAAGTAAAGTTTTCAATGGCATGCGGAAACGCTCTACAGCGACCTCGCTAAGTACGCTCTATCATTTAGCCTCGATCTAACTGACGTATTCTCATCAGGATGCGCCATATTTGAATTAATTAATAAGTGATATCCTATTTAAATCCGAGCTGTAGCCGAGCCATCTGTGGGTCTACAGAGTTGATTTTGGGCTTGTTGTTTAAATAAAGATCTAATTTATAATTTCTATAACATCTGAAGCCTAAATTAAGACTTGCAATAATCAGATTTAGCTCTTGCATAATGTATGTTTAAACGAGATACTATCTCGTTTGAACGAATTAATTATTTTGTTTGAACGAATTAATTATCTCATTTGGACGAATTATTTATCTCATTTGGACGAATTAATTATCTCGTTTGAATGAATTAATCATCTCGTTTGAACGAATTAAGATTTCGATTGTACAGAAGCGTGGAAAGGACATGCAGAAATTGTGTTTTAAGTAAAGATAATGCCATTTAATCCGTAAGTTCTTTACTATTTCTAGCATTAACGTCTGTAGAAGAAACTACATTTATGAGAATGAGAATTAGTATAGAATATATTGGAAGTTATCCACGTTTTAAAAGCCCGAGTAAGTTTAATGTTAGCCTGAATTAGCCACTACGATGTTTTATGACATGTATATGCTTAACATTATGCAGGTCTTTCTTTAGGCCTTCAATGTTATATAAATTATTCATTAGACATTTTTTAACATATTTTAGTAGATTAAAATGGTTGGGCCATTTTATGATTTAATTGAACCAGCGGCTGCCAGGCAGGATACGCCCACATTTTCGAGAGATGGATAGAGAACAAGCTAAAAAGAAAGTGATTTTTCCTACAATCAAGGGCCATAATTCAGGAAATTACAATTTGATATGCGCAAATATCGAAAGGAACCGAGATCTTTGTGTTATAAACTTACATTTCAAGTTTCAACAAAATCAGATTAAAATTGTGACCTCTATAGGGTCCACAATCTTGATATACCATATTTTTACGCTATTTGAGAACGAACAGCGACCATTTTGTCTGTCAATTTTGGGTTGATTTTCACGAAATTCGAACTCAGCCGTCCTTAGGCTGTAACGGTGATATAGTAATACGTTTTTTTAAATCGGATAAAAATTATGACCTCTATAAGGTCCACAAGCTAAAAACTCGATTTTTCGTACAATCAGGGGTCATAATTCAGGAAGTTACGGTCCGATATGCCCGAATATCAAAAGGAACCGAGATCTTTGGGTTGTAAACTTACATTACAAGTTTCAACAAAATCGGATTAAAATTGTGACCTCTATAGGGTCAACAACCTTGATACCATATTTTTACGCTATTTGAGAACGAACGGCGGCCATTTTGTCTGTCAGTTTTGGGTCGATTTTCACGAAATTCGAACTCAGCCGTCCTTAGGGTGTAACGGTGATATAATAATATGTTTTTTTAAATCGGATAAAAATTATGACCTCTATAGGGTCCACAAGCTAAAAACGCGATTTTTCGTACAATCAGAGGCCATAATTCTGGAAGTTACAGTCCGATATGCCCGAATATCGAAAGGAACCGAGATCTGTGGGTTATAAACTTACATTTAAAGTTTAAACAAAATCGGATAAAAATTGTGACCTCTATAGGGTCCACAACCTTGATATACCATATTTTTATGCTATTTGTGAACGAACGGCGGCCATTTTGTCTGTCAATTTCAGGACGATTTTCACGAAATTCGAACTCAGCTGTCCTTAGGGTGTAACGGTGATATGATAATACGTTTTTTTAAATCGGATAAAAATTATGACTTCTATAGGGTCCACAAGCTAAAAACACGATTTTTCGTACAATCAGGGGCCATAATTCAGGAAGTTACGGTCTGATATGCGCGAATATAGAAAGGAACCAAGATCTTTGGGTTGCCGAGCGCGTTGCTATTTATATAACGGAGACCGGTAAGGATTTTTTACTGTTTATTCTTTCCTTTTACGTCCCCTAGGATTGTCTTGTATTATCGGTACCTCTAAATAGCAACGCGCGCGTGTGCATGACTATTTAGATGCACCATGTGTCAAGCAAAATAATGATTTGTTCACAACTCGGATAATATTTTAAAGGAAATTACCAAGTCGTTTTGAATAGATGTCGGCAACTCAAGTATCGGCAATATGGCCGTGTATCGGTCGATACCGATTTCTACCGATATGTCACTTATCGGCCAATTACTGATTTTCAAACAGATTATCGGACCATCACTAATTGACCTTGATTGAAACACTGGGTCAATATAATGGACTTTGCAATGGTTGAATTGCTGTCAAAAAATAATGTATCACTACGTCATAATGTAATCAGGTTCAGTAAAAGTGAAATCTATAGCAAAGAATTATATTTGTTTATTTGTGCATGTAAGAAAGGATTGGGTGATAAATAAAATCTTCTACTCGTCTTTTTTTTAATAAAAACATGCCTATGAATTAAATGGAATTTACTTGACTTTTTACCTTCATTGTGTAAGAGTTATTCCATAGTTTGACATGATCGGAAGCCCTGAGATCTTGCCATGTGACTAGATTGTGATATGGTTTACCAGTCTCACTGGAAAGAAAAATACAATAGATAAATAAAGGTAGTATTTTGAATCTTTTTTAAAATTCAATAATTTGCAGCAGTAATGATGATCAACCACTTAGTTCTCGGTTTATAGTGGATCAATTTGAATGAAATTTTCAGCAAATTGCCTTTACATTATCTAGCTTTTAACTATTATAGTGAGTACTCCAACTCGTTATCGAATCTCCCATAATGTATCTTTAATGAAACACCAGAGATGACAGATTGACAGGGTGTTTGACATGAATCTCTAAAATTAAAGATTTTACCTGTCCCAGGTGAGAAAAGTAGCTCGTTGTGTAGCAATACCTAAACATGTGACTTTATTAGCTTCAATACCAGCAGCTGAAACAATAAAATATAACATATCGTATTAAATTTGACTATTTGACTTAAGAAACTAATAGACATTACTGGACACTGGGCTGAAGTCTAATAGTTCTTTTGTGTCGGTAACATTTACATGTAATTTAGTATAATTGTATCGACAGATCGTTTTTAGAATGTCTTCATAGACATCTCAATACTGTTGTATAGCCATATGTCAGTTCTAAGCATGTATTATGGTGGTCTGTATCCTACTAAGGATACATGATTTATCTCCCTTACATACTGCCTGAAAAGGAAGTGGATAAACATGTGCCTATGATAAAGCTTGGTCGCCGGGGAGACATTCCTCACAGAGTCAATCACTTTGAATTGCATCCGACGTCAGAATTTTTGGACCGAACCAGAATTTTGGGACAAAACCCAACCCTAACCCTCACCCTAACCCTAGCACGCGGTGCGTGTCAGTGTTGCTAAAAATAAACCATCATCTCGTTTATCAACGCGAGATTTCGTCAATTCACCATGGCCGGTATTGTGAGGAATGTTTCCCTTGTGCAAAATTTCTATGATAAAGTCTTTGTTTCTATGATCAATCTCCTCCGATGAAAATATAATAATTAGAGTTGACTTGACAGCACACAACAATACATGTAGTTTGCTCTCATTGTTTGTCTAGTCTGGATCAGTACTCTGAATGTAAAGCTAATGCGACATGACTATATGTAAATCATTTAGAAATTATGCAGAATAGCCATGGTAAACATGCATGTGCTACCTTTAATAGTTTCGTTGATACAATCTTTAACCTGATCAACCAGTAGTTCAGGATCCATTTCACTCCAACCAACATTTGGATGAATTATTTCTATCTATTTAAAAAAAAAAAAAGGAAGACATTTAATTCAGATTACATGAAGATCACATATCACATGCTGCATCAATTGCTCTGATTGAATTGCTCTTTTAAAATTACATCTGGAATTCTTTAAAGCAGATAAACCTCTTTGATTTAGGTCAAAATGAAGATATATCATTCATTGAAGCTTCTATTGGGCTAACAAGATATGTAAACAGCAGACCGATGATTTAACAGAAATGAATTGAAATGGGGTTTAACGTCCTACTGTTTTGCACCTACTGGGCTAATGAAGACGAGTGGACGAACAGACAATAGGGGATGATGACAATATAGTACCACATTAAAATTTGGCGTATAGAAACTAAAATATTTGGCTTGTATTTGTTCAGGTGTAATTGTCAGACAAAATAATAGCCTATAGACAAAACACCAGCTGATAAAACATCAGTAGGCATCAGCATTGTAAATATTGACAACCTGTTACACATTTAAGAATATATTTTAATTATATAAACTGTCATTCAAACTGTTATTAAATCAAATGTCCTTATATGTAATTCATTGTATGATACTGATTGTTCACATTTATCTATTTTAATATGAGGACTGCTGTTTTAAAAAACTTTTATGAAAAATGGACTGGTTTGTACGAAATATAACCCAAATGATTTTCAATCAAAAAAATGTGCATTCGATTGTGTATGGTCTGGACCTTTATTTTGGCAAAGTGGGACAAACATACATGTAATTAAAATACATGATTCTGTTTAGACAATAGATGCCTGATTACCTTTTTACTGCTTGAACCTTTAATATTACATTGCTTGTCATAGATATGACTTCGTAAAGTGGTTGTTCCCACATCTAGAGACAGAATATATGCAGGACTAAAGCCCCTTTTCACACCTTCATTAATATCACCCGACATTATAATCTCATATACAGGATGATGATATATTACGGCTTACAGCTTTCACACATCATGTTTAAAATTGTCATCTGAAAAAAGTAAGAAAGGTTAATGAAAAGTAAGTTTATAAAGAATACTATTCCTGGAACTTTAAAAACTATATTCAATCAAATTTTAACCATCAGTAATAATAACCCCTCTTATATACAGTCCTTTATCTATTACATGTTTTAACAGAATATGAATTCTTGTGTTTCTTTTTATTCTATACTTAAAGGAACTAAATCTCTAATATTTTGGACCTAGAAATTGGCACAAATGGGTCGCAACACATATAATAATGTAATATGAATTTATATAAACTGATTTACATTCAATCTTGTCATCAGTTATGTTCGGCGAGATACGCCAGAAGTCTCAACCGCAAGTCAGTTTCTAGCGTCTGGTTATTCCAGTCAAATCCGATATTATTTATTGCGCATGCTCTCCAAATAAGAACATGATATCACCGTTTGACATGACTTGTGGAATATGACTAGCCTCATTCTTTGAGCACCTTGTTACAAATGGCGCTGAAACGCATTACGGTACACGATTCGTGTACCAATGGTAAATATCAGAAGCCCATCTTTTCCAGGTAAGATCACAACACCAATGCTGATTTAAATTGCAAAAAAATTTGTGTTTCCAATGTCGAAGATTTTGAATGATATTGAGTTACGGACTTAGCTACTTTAAATGTTCACGCCCTGCTTTTTGCATCATGTTTACCTTGTGCTAAATAATTACAAGCGAACAATATTGTTGAACTGTTGCATTATCAAATTGCTTGTGATTGTTATCAGTTGTATTTGTGCAATTTCAATGTTTTCCTATCACTAACTGACTTATGCTCGGTCCCCACTATTATAATTCGTACTACGATTGAAATCATGGTTTTAATCGTTGAGTAATCGTGGTGATCCTATCAGGTATTATCATATATTGAGATCAGTCATAGCAATCGTGTTGCCAACGTATCTGCATGTACCAGGTCGAGGACTCAATAGGGACGGTCCTATCGTAACAGATTTCAAGATATATAGTGGGAACTTGGCATTACAAACAGCATAGTATCCCCAAATCTAGCAAAACATAATCATTTGAATAAACACAGTTTGTAGTAAAAATAGAGCATATAATAGTTTACACTACCAGTATTTATTTTAACCAGAAAATGACAGCAAATGTATTTTAAATGTCTCAGAATATATTCATGTTCAAGCGAACAAGAAAACACCCATTTTTTCTCATTTGAAAGACAGCAAATGGCAACAAGAATTGAAAATCCAAAAGCCAAATAAATGTATTCACAAGCTTAACAGTCAAAATGTGAACGGAAAAATAACTTTGCAAAAAGCTTCAAAAATTACAATGTGGAGATTTTGAAATTACTTGTAGATAGGATTTGATACGGTTCCTTTTTTAGGTTGATGCACAATATCACCTAGTATTAAAACATTTCTTCTATTGTGATTTTAATCTTTATCAAAATATTGTTGGGAATATAAATCAGCATAACAAAATGTCTAATTTTCTGAAAACTTTTGAATTGTGATGGGGGTTGTTCATTATCACTATATAAACAATCCCTGTGAATTTGAAAACTACCCAACAAAACCTCTGGTGCATAGAGTGTCCAAACAAAAGAAAAGTTGGATGGCAGATGACTGAGAATCAAGTAATTTGTTGAAATGAAAACGTTATTTCCAAAATAATCTAGTATTTAGTGGACTCTTACTTTCTCAAAGAAAAGTTACATTACTTACCAAACCCTATATCCAAAGTATAGTAATTCACTGGTTATAATCATATTGTTTGTTGTCAATTAATAAACATTAAATTTAAATACTAATAAAGAAGGTGTCTTATTTCTTCATTTCCTTGTAACATGGGCGTAATTATTGAGTGTAAAGTTCCTTGTTATAACATGTACTTATATAGACAAACTTTATAAACAGATCTTTTATTTGGATATCTACCATAATATACAGGATATCACTATAATTATCTGCTGATTACTAAATTGAAGGTTATAATACTTGACCAGGTCAGGTACACAAAAATTAAACCTTGAACAGCAGACATTGAATTAAAGTGCAGATAAGTAAGACATTAAACCTACATCATTTCATTTCTACATTTAAAGATGGGTTCCCAGAAAAGTATTTATCAGGTGGTTATTTCCAATAAAAGTATGGTGATTTTGGTATATATGGAAAGTAGAGATATCCAATCTTACTAGAAAAATACTGGATTCCCCGAAAACACTCATGGAGCGTATACAGGACAAAAATGTAGGGGTTTCCCTAATCAACAGCCCGACAATTAGGAATTTCTGCATGCGTGATTTCAAAGGTCACACGCGAACATTGAGCGCTTGATGTACAAATTGATAAACTTTATGAAGAGTATGAAGACGTACAACACTTTCTGAGATAAAAATGACGGAAAAAGACGCGGGTAGTGGATAATCTGAGAATTTAATTGGGATTTGATATTTGTAGTAAATAGTAAGCAATTAAAGACAACATCGTCTTATGTATGCAATGAATTCTCCTCTGACTTCCAAGAGAGTTAAGTCACGTGTCGTAAACATGACCTGGTTTGATCAAATTTTTATAGCAGGACATTCCTTCGCAATTACAATGTTTGAGAAAGATTTTTAGCAAAATTATGAGAAATTAATTAGTTTGAATATGTTTTTAGTCCATACATACCACTAAATCACCCAGTTTGTATGCGGGAACCCATCTTTAAAGGAGCTATACGGTCTTTCAAGATAGGCCAAAATTAAGTGTTTGATTAGATTGATCTAATGTGATACTTTGATTAGGGATTGGACAAGATCTATAGGATTACAATTTCATTTCTAAATATCAAGCAAAAGTTGGTTTGTTCACTAATTTTAATTTTGTTTTTGGCTTAATCTGAATGCCTTTCCACTCTTAAAGAGGATTTCGTTTTCACACCTTATGATAAGGCCAGTAACAAAAATACCTTTACTTGTAAAAAATACTATCTCTGAAATATTCTCACGGCAGTTGGCCTTTGGCCCAATTCTCAAAATTATTATAAAAAAAGAACCTATAACTATAAAGGTTTAATGTTTAAAAAGATTCTCTACTTCAGTTTCATAACCAGCGGCTGTCAGGCAGGATACGTCCACATTTTGCAAGAGATGGATAGAGAACAATCTAAAACAAAAAGCGATTTTCTGTGCAATCAAGGGCCATAATTCAGGAAGTTACGATCTGATATGCGCGAATATCGACAGGAACCAGGATCTTTGGCTTATGAAGATTTATTTCAAGTTTCATCAAAATTGGATGAAAATTGTGACCTTGATATACCATATATTTACACTATTTGCGTACAAGAGGCGGCCACTTTGTCTAGCAGTTTTGGTCCGATTTTTACGAAATTCGAACTTAACCGTCATTAGTGTGTAACGGTGAAATATTCAAACATTTTGTTCAATCGGATAAAAATTGTGACCTCTAGAGGGACCACAACCTAAAAATGCGATTTTTCGTACAATCAGGGGCCATAATTCAGGAAGTTACGATCCAATATGCGTAAATATATTTGGGTTATAAACATGCATTTCAAGTTTCATCAAAATCTGGTGAAAATTGTGACCTCTAGCGTGTCAACAAGCTAACAACGTGATTATTCGCACAATCAGAGGTCATAATCCATGAAGTTATGGTCCGATATATGCCAATATCAAAAAGATCCGAGATCTGAGAGAAAGTCCTATATTTTAAGTTTCGTCAAAATCGAATAAAAATTGTGACCCGTAGAGTGTCCACAAATAAAATGTGGACGGACGTCCTGACGAACAGTGGTGACGACAATATTCGTCCACATAAAAATGTGGGCATATAAAAATCAAATACGGACATATCATATTTTCTTGCGAATGTCAGACAGAAAAAACAACAAAATAGGCTAATTTAGTTTAGAGATGTTTGATTATCAATCCCGAAGTTCAGAATTAACAGAATTGCAATCATGTGATACACATTTGAGTCCTGTTACAGTTCTGCCAGTCCCGACAACTTAGTTATAGTGTGACATAATTTAACACAACAAACATGTTTCAGTTGTCATGGTTGGTTGATGTATTATCTTATTCTGTCTACGTACATCGCTGCAGTCCAAAATCCCCCTTTTCTCTCAAGTTTCACTACTTTGGGATTGGGAAGGATTTAATTCAGAAACATTAAATCGAATATACTCTTTGTCAGTATGCTCCTTTAAAACCAAGGAAAGTAATGGAAAAGTACTATAATTTGTGATTTAAGAAACTATTTAATTTGAAAATTATTAAAGATACATTGTAAAATTTAGATAAAGAGCTAGCCATTCTTGCTATAATAGTTCGAAAATAGATAATGTAAAATTAATAATTTGAAAATTTCATTCAAATTAATCTATTGCGAGCGAAGATATTAGCCTTTGAAGGTTTGAATAGACGTGTGCAATAATTTCAACCACCGTACTGATTGTCCGAAGCTGTAACGCTCCTCCATTTTTAAATTAAATTAAAATATGGCTGAACCGTTCTAATCTATTTAATATCAGAGAAATCCGATGCCATTGAGGGTTGATTATGGCCTGGATCAGTTAATTAATGTCTAATTAATAATTTTGAAAACATTTCAGGCTTAAAGTAGCTAAGTCTCTAACTCAATATCATCCAAAATCTTCAACATTGAAAACACAAATTATTTGTCAATTTAAATCAAGATTGATGCTGTGATCTTACCGGAAAAAGATGGGCTTCTGATATCCAATATTTAAGACAAAATAAACATTTTGCCATTGGTACACGAATCGTGTACCATAATGCGTTTCAGCCCCAGTTCTAGCAAGAGACTCGAGGAACGAGGCTAGACATATTGCACCAAACCAAAAGGCGTATGTAGACTGGAATAACTAGGTGCTAGAAATTTGCATTCGATTGAGACTGCGGGCTTATTTCGCGGAACATAACTGATTTGAAATTAGAGTAAAAACGGAAACCATTGAATGTATATCAGTT